TATACTTGTGTATCCTTCGTCATCGTTCGAAACAGCTTCACATTTTCTTACAAGAAAATTTAATATATTGTTGATGGTTAGTGTTATCTCAAGTTTAGCCAGTAAAATATTTTCCAATTTTACAACATCGAATATACTGTGGTAACGCCATCCTTAAATTAACAAATAAGCCAATTTGTTGAGTGGTATAAGTCTAGAATTGGAAATAATAAAGACGAAATTGAATATCTTTATTAAGCTGGGAATACTACAGAAGATTGAAAGGACTACCACAATAGTAATACGGATATTGACTTGAATATTACGCAGATTATCGCTATTGTATTCTATCCTTAATCAAGCTAAATTGGTGATTTCAACTTGGATTTAATATTACCGATAGTCTATCTCAAGTTTCAATTACAAAAATTGAATGCTTTTTGATACAAATTCAATTTACCTTAGTGGATAATTCAATCGAAGTTTTTCAAGGATATTGATTACCTCAATATTAGCTTAGAAGTATACCATTTACTTTCTTCATTTACCTAATCCAATTCTATTCTTAGACTGGCCATAACATTTTTAAAATTGTATTATCTATTTAATTTCCATCTGGATCAATTTTTTCTTCATCATAATTATTATTATTATCATAATTTTTATTCTAAATCTAACAGTTTTTTTGTCCTATTTTAATTTTTTTGACTGTCAACTCATTTTTACTTATTTAAAGTAATCCTTTGGGGTTCATTTTAACTGCTGTTAATCATTTATTGTACAATTTTTGTTCATTTTCCCTTTACAATTTTTACATAGACTTGGGTATTTGAAATTTTCACTTTGTTACTATTTAGTGATTGCAATAGTAAAGCTATTGAACATTTATTTGCTATTTTATACGTTGTTCATGATTGATTCATTGGGCATCCCTTTCTATTGGATTAATCCTTTTTAATTTTAAAATTTTTTCTAATATAAGTTTATCTTTGCTCGATATATTTAATATCCGTTGATAGACAATGGCAAGGCCTGCGTTGATGTTATTCTCGATACTCTTGGTATCAGCAAGTAGTCTGATAGTCTATGGCAACCAATGTCGATCAAATCATTTACCATCATTTATTTATAATCAAAATGATACAATAATTCATCATTCGTTATTATTTACTAGTTTTTATTATAAGGGTAAAATTGATAGAATGACACCGATAGGAAGTATTGTTCAATTTATGATGCAACGTGTTGGCATCTATAGACCAAATTGCCAACAAAATCCAATTCAATATCAATTCGAAAATGACGTGGATGGATTATGGCAAGTTAGTACACGCTGTATCAACGATAATTTCAATCAGCTTATAATTCAGAGTCGATCATCGTTAGAACATTATGAAAAAGAGTCCACAGCTACTCCATTCTCAAGCGTAACAAGACCGAACAATCAAGCTAATTTAAAATCATCAACACATCACAACCTATATACTCTTATAGCATTGGATCAAAGCGCTAATAATGATAGTAATAGTAAGCAGCGCAATCATTTCCATTTGGGTTATAGTCAAATTTTAATTGAAATTGTCGATGAAAGAAATCGCCATATTCCGCTATTTCAGCAATCATTATATACAAGTATAATTTATTCTAATACACCCGTAGGTACACCAGTAATTCAAGTTAAAGCAATAGATCAAGATAATGGTCTAAATGGGCAAATTATGTATCGTTTAGTAGAGGAAAATGCTTATTTCGCAATCAATTATATTACTGGATTTGTCTATGTTGTCCAAACGTTAAATATTAAATATGCTAGGCAAGTATTTCAATTCCAAGTGGAAGCACAAGATCGCGGCCCAATACCATATCGAAGTCAAGCTCGAGTCACTATCGATGTCATCAATGTTACAAGTTATCATCCGCCGCAAATTGAAATTATAACCATATGGCCATTGCCAACACCGGCATCTCGTTCTACACGTGTTGCAAAGTTATCCATTCGTGATGGTGATTATGGTCGTTATGGAACAATTTTAAATGTAGCAGTTCAAGTTATTAACGATAATCGTGATTTATTTACTATGCAACGGGTAGAAAATCGCGATCAATACTATGTTGTCTTAAAGCAAGCATTTGAACAAGATGGACAACAAACATCTACATCGGATGTTAATCAGTTTTATTTACGCGTTACTGCAACTGATAATGGCCGACCAGCATTAACATCGCAACTAAATTTTGTTGTATCGATTACGCCCAAAGTTAGGCGAATATTTTCAAGGGATAGCTATCAATTCCAGATTATGGATTGTGCACCACCTGGTATTGAAGTTGGTCGATTAGCTGCAACTGGTCATAAAACAGGTGTTATCTATGCTATGCGAAATGGTAATGAAGAAGGTATATTTACCCTTTCCTCACAACATGGAATTCTCTTTACTAAGAAAAATTTATTAACATATCAACAACGATCAAGCTATCGATTAGATGTATGGGGATATCGTAGCTTTAATGAAATTTATCAGGTAATCGTTATCGTTCAAGTTATTCCAGTTCATCGTTATATACCACAATTTAAACCGTTGCCACCATCTGTTCTGACATTGACAACAACACAACAATTTGGTTATCAGCATCCAATTATTCAAATTCATGCTCAAGTTTATCATCCACCCTATTTGAATACCACGCAAGATATATTATATACCATCGTTAATAATCAATCTGTTCCATTTACTATTGGTCAGCATAGTGGCCTATTAACTCTAGATCAACAAGTTGATGAAATCCGTTGTCGTCAGTTACATGGCATACCCTTAATTATCCGAGCTCTAGATCAAGGTAATCCATATTATTACCAATCACAAGTTATCATTACTTTAGGATGCCAATTAGACGATAATACTACCTTGCCATCACCGACTCGTGCCATACAACGTATATCTTCATCATATCAAATTGACAGTAATCAATATACGCCGCAATTTCGACGGCATCGTCAAAATTTACTGATTCTAAAGTTAAATAAAAATACACCACCATCGTCCAAACGTTCTATTTATACTTTTTATGCTACAGACGATGATGATGGCTTAGATGGGTTAGTGATGTATGTATTATCCAGTGGTAATCATCATGGCTTCTTTTCGTTAGATTATATCAGTGGAGAATTAAAATTGATAGAATCTTTAAATGAAACAACATGGAAGACATTTCAATTGGTTATTACTGCTTATGATGCAGGTTTGCAGCGCCGCTCTACTCAAACAACGTTGCAAATTCAATTAATTACCCCAGCTAATGGAGATGATAATTCCATTCTATATAATTCAACTATGATACCTTTTATACCAATAACAAGTTATACACCGATTGATCATAAAATTGTAAATATCACATCCTATTTCAGCTTAAAAGGCAACATTTCTTATTCTCTATTGACTTATTTAGATTATTTCCAATTGGATAGAAAAAGTGGTATATTAAAAGCATTAGTCGAAACACCTACTAATCTGCAACAACAGTTTCATTTACTTATTTTATTACAAAACAATAGCCAAGGTGGATATTTAACTTATCGACACTTGGGAATAATGCGCGTTGCAAACATTAATTTTTATACGCCACAACTTGATCGATCCACTTATTATGTTTGGCTACCTAACGATATACCTGTGGCCAGCTATATTACTAGAATTCATGCTACTGATGGGGATTTTGGTGAAAATGGTGTTATAAGATATGCTCCAACACGTGGAGGCCATCGTAAATGGGTTGTCAATCGTGTGACTGGAACTATCTACTTGGGATCATCATTAACACAGCCGTACGAATATCAACAGCAATCATTTTTATGGCGCTATTTTCACTTTCTTTTACGTGCTAAAGATCGCAGTTTATTTCCTAAAGTTGACCGGTGTTATGTTGATATTGCTGTTGTACCACGCTTGCCTATTCGGCCTCAATTTTTGTCTGAGCAAATCCAAGTCAATATTTTCGAAAATACAACTGTAGGAACAGTTATTACTGATATTACCAGATATCTTCAAGTTCAAAAGATTGAAAATGCTGATCGCCATCATTATGTCTACCAAATTATCAATGGTAATGGATTAGAGTATTTTCAAATAAATTCAATCAATGGCAATATTACTATCTTAAAATCATTAGATTATGAACTACATCATCAGCTTTGGTTAACTGTCCAAGTTACCGATAAGACAACTTTACCATTTCAATGGAATCAGCTGCTAGTGATTATGAATATTATCAATATCAATGATCATCCACCATTACCAAAGCAAGCCATTTACCATCAAACTATTGAAGAAAATTCTCCAGTCGGATTTGAAATCATTCATATCCAAGCAGACGATCAAGATTGCCTAGCAGAATCACCTGGAAAGATGTCATCTTTATGTCAATTACGATTTCATATTATAAAAGGAAATGAAAATCAATACTTCTACCTCAATGTTAATACTGGTAGATTGACCATTGCTAAAACACCTCGCCTCAGTCAAAATGGCCAAGATTTTATGCTAATAATTTCTATCAGTGATGGTCGATGGCAAACTCGTGTGCGAATTCATATTCATTTAATTCGTCAACAAAAAGCAATCATCGCTTTTACTCAAGATCATTACAAGGTTGATATTATTGCCCAATCATTAACAAGATTAAGTAATTTTATGTTGCGTGTACTAGCACTAAATCGGTATAATCCTGAGCAACGATTTTATTACACGTTATTAGATGATCAATCGAGTAAATTTACAATTGAATCACATACTGGTATTATCCAATGTAGTGAGACATTAAATCAACAAAATCAGTATACACTGACAGTTGCTGCACAAAAATACTCCAATATAACACAATCATTATCGCCTGTTATGGCGGCTAGGAATAATCCATCGAGTATTGCTACTATACGGGTCAGAAGTATTGGTCCATCAGAGGTAACACCAATACCTCATTTCTGTGATAACTATCCCATCATTTTAAATGAAAATCTTCAAATTATGGCGGTAGTATGGTATCCTAAAATAACCTCTACGAATAAAACTCAATTAAATTATTGGATTCATGCAAGGAATGATAATTATACTTTTATTATCAGCACCGATACTGGTTTAATTCGCCTAGCTCATCCACTTCATTACGATCAACAAAGCCGATATACATTGCATATATCAACGACAAATGGCTACCAAGTAGCCAAGTGTACGATTGAAATTTTTGTTCGTAATGTTAATCACTATTGGCCCCGATTTCTACAGCGTCAATATCAAGCAATTGTTTCACTCACGACACCAATTGGTTTTACAGTGTTAATGTTGAGAGCTATTGATAAAGATCTAACGGAGAAAGTAACTTATTCACTGGATGATCATACACCTGATGTTATTCGAGAGTATTTTAATATCGAGAAAGATACTGGTCGAGTAATATTAATGAAACAAATCTTGCCTTATCAACAACAGCAACAATTTACATTTACTGTTATAGCTTCCGATAATGGCCAACCACAGCATGAAGATGCTACACGAATATTGATACTTGTTCATGATAATAGTTCAGAAGGAACTTATTTAAAATTTGCTCAATCACACTACACATTTCAAGTTCCTGAAGAAACAAAGATTGGTTTACCGGTCGGACAAGTTGTTGCATTAGTTACTTCGACCTCTCATTACTCGTTATTACCATCGCCTGCTATAAAATATCGAATTGTTAACAATGAAAGTGATTCAACATTTTGTATCCATGAAAATACTGGAATGCTTTATGTAAATAAAGCACTAGCTTTTAATACTATTAGAAATAATGAAACAATTTTAAATTATCGCTTTATTGTGATGGCATCAATCTTTTCTGAAATTAATATTACTGTTCAAGTTACTGTTTCGCCGGCAATCCTCTCCCATAATCATGTGCGACCACGATTTCAACAGCGATATTATACAAGTTATGTCAAAGAAGCGCAACCAGTTAATACATACGTAACTCAGCTATCGCTTGTTCAACCACAATTGATATCTTATTCAATTGTAAATCAAACTATCAATACTAAAGATATTCCTTTTCATATTGATCCATTAACTGGAATTGTTAGAACTTCAGTTCCATTGAATATACGAAAGATGCACCGCTATACATTAGGAATTGCTGCTCAAGGGATAAATCAACTACAGGATCAATGCATACTTGAAATATATGTGCAAGATATAAATAATCACCATCCTGTTTTTATTAATCAAAGTTATTTTGTGGGAGTAATTCAAGAAGAAGTGCCACTAGGGAGTTTAGTTTATCCCTTTAAACCTTCAACATCAATTGCAATGAATCCTACATCGAGACCGTTACATGTCGTAGCTACTGATGATGATTTTGGACAAAATGGAAATGTTAGCTATAAAATTGTTTATCCATTAGATCACTCTCCATTTCGAATTAACGATGATGGAACTATTCAAACGCGTCAACGAATTAATTTTGAAAATCAGAAAAGCTATACCTTGTTAATTACGGCATATGATCATGGAACACCTGTCCGCTATTACAGCCGAAGACCTGCTAAAGTTATTATTCATATCACCGATATTCATGATCAACCTCCAGTATTTTTACATAATCCATATCAGTTTCAGTTATACACACCAACTTATGCAGGTGTAACAGTAGGCAGAGTAAGCGCACAATCTCATGGTTATGGAGCTCAACCTGTAAGATATTCCATTATGACAAGTAACCATTCTAATTTTGAAATTAATGCTCAAAGTGGACATGTTAAAGTTGCAATCCAAAATCAATTACGTCGTGGCACTTATGAATTAGATATACTAGCATACGATCAAATCTATCGTACTTTGGGCAAAGTATATATTCATGTCTTACCTTTAAAATCCACATTAAGATTTCATCAATCAATGTATAGAGTAAAACTTATGGAGAACCAAACTACCATTCAATCATTAATTAGAGTAACAGCAATTGGTACACAAGTTACAGATCGGGTCGAATATAAAATTTTAAATGCCAAAGAGCCACCATTATTTCAACTTGATCCATGGAGTGGAGTCTTAACTAGTGTAGGATATCGATTCGATAGAGAAAAAACTCCTTATTATGTAGTTGTTATTCAAGCAAAGGATCATCGCATTCCATCACGAACTGCACAAACATTTGTCAATATTACTATTGAAGATCAAAATGATAATTCTCCACAGTTCCTTAAATCACCCTATTATCAAGTAATCTATCGATACTGGAATGTAGGATATCGAATAATTCGATTGGAAACGTTCGATCCTGATCAGCAGTTTGAATACAAGCAAAGAAATTTAGCGATTGTATCTGGTAATGATAACGGCTTCTTTCATCTCGATTCTCAAAGTGGAATTCTATCTATCCAAAGAGATCTTACTTCAGCATTGCCTATGTATCAGATGATAGTCCGTGTACAAGATAAGAATAATACTAATTTATTTTCAACAAGTCGGCTACTCCTTCGAATAACAAATAACACCCAGCCATTATTTGAATATCCAGCTTACACAGCTAATATCAGGGAAGATACCGCTATTGGTACTACAATACAACTCGTAAGAGCTCAATCTATTAATAACAATACTTTAACGTATACATTTGAAGATACTGATGAATTAAATCCGTTAAGTATTGATTCAGATGGTCATGTAACTCTAAAAAATGAAGTTGACTATGAATTACAATCCACATATAATTTATTCATTCAAGCTAATGATCCAGTAACTCAATTAACGACGGTTACCACACTCGATCTACATGTTATTGATATCAATGATCATGCTCCAATTTTTCTGCATAAAGTATATGAGATTTCCATTAATGAATCGTTACCTATTGGGGTAATTGTTTTACGCGTAACGGCAATTGATGCAGACGACGGCCAAAATGGGAATATAACCTATTCACTTGTATCGTCTGCATCATCATTACAAGATCAGCAACTATTAACTTCTCGATTGCCATTTGAAGTCGATCCACTGACTGGTATTATAAAAGTAGCAGGACCTTTAGATTATGAACGGAAGAAAGAATACGAGTTTGAAATTATCGCCCGGGATTTCGGTCAATCTCAGCGGCTTTCTGATACTACTTTAGTTTTGGTTCATATTTTAAATACCGATGATGAAGCTCCACAATTTGAGCAAGTCGTCTACACCAGTCAAGTTGATATTAAAGCTAATATTGGACAATTTATATTATGTGTTCAAGCTTTCGATGAAGACGAGAATAGGCAAATTACCTATTCTATTCAATATGGCAACTTTAATTCAACGTTTCGTTTGGATCCATTAACCGGTGTAATTTGGCTAAATCGCTCATTAGAGCATCATCGACCCCCACTCCCAACGTATACTTTAATTATAGCAGCTACAGATGGTCGTTTAATTGGCCAAACCAGGGCAATCGTTCGCGTCCTACAAAGAGCTGAGGATCATCAGCCTATATTTTCGCAAAATCTATATCGAGGTTCAATTGGAGAAAATCTACCCAGTGATACGTTGATTACAACTGTCATGGTCACCAATCAATATAATCAGTCCATTGATATAGAGTACTATTACATTTTGGACGACTATGCAAGGGAATTGATTACTATTAATCGACTGAACGGACAGTTAAGAAGTCGAAAAATTTTTGATCGAGAACTTCCGTTGCAGCAACGAATTCAATTTGCTTTATATGCTAAAACGTCTAGCTGTCGTATCGCATGGACGGAAGTTGAAATTACTGTTTTGGATGAAAATGATAATCGACCATTATTTTTATTGCGGCGTTTCCAAGGTTTATTACCAGTTGGCAATGGTACTGGTGCTAAAGTCGTCACTGTTAAAGCTTTAGATCGTGATATTGACAATAATGCAATGATTCGATATCGAATCGACACCTCTAGTGCTAAAGATTTTTTCACCATCGGTCGACGTTCCGGCATTATCAGGACATTAGGCAATATTAATTCTATTATGAGTTTCGATTTTGTTGTACGGGCAACAGATATTGCTGATACAAGATTATATTCAACAACACAAGTGTCGATCTCGATGTATGATCCAAGCCAGATGAAACCTGAATTTCAGCATGCATCGTATGAGTATAGAATTAGTGAGGAAACATCAATGAAAACGGTTATAACCCAATTAAAAGCGCAATTTAGCAACGATAGCAATCGTATTTTGTCGTATAATTTAGCCAACGGAAATTGGTTATCAACTAATAGCCTGCAAAATTTTACATTAATCAGCACAACTGGGCAATTGGTTACTGAGACGCTATTAGATCGTGAGATAGTGCAAACTTACAATTTATATGCTGAAGCATGGGCATCACGTCAAGTACCGGCATTAACTGAAATTAAAATTACCGTCTTAGATAGTAATGATAATGCACCCCAGTTTACAAGCCGTTCCTATGTCATATGCATGGCAGAAGATGTCCCACTCCGTTATCGAGTGATTCAAGTTAAGGCTTCTGACGCAGATTTAGGTGATAATGCAACATTTCATTACCAGTTTTCTCCTCCAACATCAGACATAAGTCAATATCGTCGATTTTTTATCGATCCGCAGAATGGTTGGATAACTACTGAAGGACAATTTGATCGTGAACAACAATCACGTTATGAGTTAAGAATAGAAGCACTAGATCATGGCCCGATAATACAGCGATCATCCTATGTGATAGTTACTATTGATATTGCTGATGTAGACGATTCACCGATACAGTTTAGCCAGCCTAGTTATCGAGTTGAAGTTCGAGAAGATGCAACAATAGGGTCTAGCTTATTGCAATTACAAGTAATCGATAATGATTTATACCAACGTCATCAAGTTAACTATTATATTATACAAGGGGATCGAAAAAGATACTTTCAGTTAGATGAGAAATCTGGCCTGTTGACTTTGAAGAAGAAAATTGATCGTACAGTTCAGTTGGATTACCAATTAAAGGTGATTGCATCTAGTGGTCGCCATTGGACATCAACACAAGTTAATATCACTGCTGTAGATATCACATCTTATATGCCATCGTGCCGACGAGCTAACATTAAGATGACGTTACCTTATCATATTGCTGTGGGAACACTCATACTTACGATCCAGCCTCAGGATATACAACGACAATATTACAGTAATTATACTTACACAATATATGGTGGTAGTAAAGCGTTTCGAATTGATCCTCATCGTGGCCAAATTAGAACATTAACTGAATTTCAACGATATCAACCAAATTATGATTTGATTATTATAGCCACTAAAAGCCCTTCACATAACCCGCCTTCATGTCATATACAATTGCATGTTCAGTTTAGTAATATTGACAATAAACCACCTAGGTTTATAGCGACAAAATATCAGGCCACCCTTAAAAGCTACGCCCCTATCAATCATTTGTTATTACAGATTATGGCTATTGATAATGATGAAGGTCAAGCTGGTAATTTAACTTATGGACTGATTGATTCTGTAAATGGAACATTTGTGTTAGATAGCCTAACAGGTCAATTGTATCTTGGAAAATCGTTAATGGAACGCCCATCCTATAATTATACGTTGCTTGCTATTGCTAGTGATCATGGTGAGCCTAAAATGTCGGCAACAACGAAAATTATTGTATCAGTGTTCAACATTCAATCTTTATTGCCTCAATTTGAACTAGATTATTACATGGGTATTGTTTCTGAAGATGCACTACCTGGTACATGGATTGCTAATGTAAAAGCTAATCCAGGATACAATCAACATTATCATTATGGACCGATTATGTATACAATTATTCAACAGCAACCACTGCAGAAGGGTAACGTCTTTCATATAGATGAAAAGACTGGAAATGTTACATTACAGCAACATTTAGATTATGAAAAAGTACGAGATTACAATGTAACGATTAAATGTTATTATGAGGATGATGAAATGTTGTATGATACTGCGACGTTATTAATTCATATCAAAGATAAAAATGATAACCGGCCGCAATTTTCCCGATCATCCTATATTGTCAAAATGCATAAATTAACATCAGCTGGTACACCAATTGTTCGCCTTGTTGCATATGATCGCGATAGCCGTGAAAATGCCAACATACGTTACTCAATTCTTACTCCAAATCAAGATTACTTTAATATGGATTCTAATACAGGTATTATAACGTTAGCTCGAGCGTTGGATAAGTACTATCGAAAGAGATATTATTTAACAATTCAAGCAAAAGATGATGGTTCACCGTCGTTAGCATCTACAACAGCTTTACAGGTTATAATCGACGAAGTTGGCGCAGTCTTTGAACCGAAAAGGTTTACCGCAACCGTTCATATAGGCACTCCTGTTGGGACAGAAGTATTAACTGTCAAAGCTAGCAATCTTGACTTCCAAATTAACCATATCTATTATCAAATGCTAAATGCAACGACAATTTTTCAACTTGGCAATACCACAGGATTATTAACATTGGCTGATACGATTAAGCCAGAGCATAATCATACATTGCTTTTGGTTGATGTTTACCATGCGTTAACAAAAGCTTTCGTTGCTAACGTAGAAATCTTCATTTATGTCAGATATAACGATGAGTTAGTAGCACAAGCTAGGCCAATTTCAACAAATATTGCAAGCAGTCAATTGTCAGCTCAGCTTGGTCCAATTGGCCGAGTTAGAGTGGATAATCCAAGCTGGTTTTCTCGATTGCAATATGAACTAGAGTATCTGGGACAGAACACTAGCGTACTTTCTGCTATAGTAATCGATCGTTATTACGGAAATATTAGTATCATTCAACCGCTACCGACAGGCAGATATCGATTTAATATAAAAATGATCAGTCCTTATCAAATAGGCAAAACTTCGTTAGATATTACAATTAATGTAATTTCAATCCAGGCATTGGAAAATAGTGTTGCGCTTCGAATTCGATCGACATCAATAGCCCAGTTTTTGCAAAGTGGTGAATTACAAGTTTTAAAAGATGGTCTGCAAATGATTTTCCCACAATTACGGGTACTTATTATTGGATTACAAAACAGCCAATCGACTGAAAGTGAGAATAGACAAAAACGCTCGATTCAAACACAAGAATTCCAATTTCTTGAAGCTATTGTTATGGTTACTAACCTTGCTCAAACACAAGTTATCAACTCGAAATATGTTAAATATGTTATTAATAATAAGATCGATCGATTAAACGAATTTACGCGATTGAATATATCATCCACTGAAGATAGCAGATGTGATCGCGCTTGCCCTCTAGGAACAATTTGTTATGTACAGCAAACTACCGCTAATAACAAAAACTCATATAATCAGCGATGGCTGCCTAGGAATGGAACAACTGGATTTATTTCCGAAGAGTATCTATCTGTTGCTAAATGTTACTGTGATAATACCGCTAACGAATACGCCAACTGTACTAGTAATAATCATACACTCAATGGTATAACGCCTTTCGAAGAGGAAGATGCTTGCCAAGCAAATCCATGTGCTGCAAATGAAAAATGCGTAAATCAGCCACGCGGCTACCAATGTCTGTGCCAGAAAGAGAATCTACAAAGTTGCAGATCTCCAAAGTGTAGCCATGAAGTGTGTGATGATGGTAAGTTATCAAATTTGAATAGTTAATTCTATATAATACATCTTTATGTAAATAATCAATAAAAGAACATATATTGCGATCCCATCCTTTGAAAATAAAATCTACACCTTAAAGATTTTGACCGAAATAGTCATATAAGAATAAATATTAAAGCTCATATTAATTAGTTTTCTTGTCAGCAAAATGTATGAATATCATGTTAAATTCGATATTACTCATATATAAACTGTAGTCAATATAAACTGGCAACATAGCAATGAAGATACCTAATAGATCTCTTTGGTGTGATATTAATGTTCTCTTTACCCCATTGGTCCTAGATAAAGCTATCTCGTTTACCAGCAAAAGTCTTATACGATATACATTGGATAAGTCGTTACTGTATCAACCTTTGCTATCGCTAAAACTCAAATTTAGAACTGTAGAAGAGAATGCGACTTTGATATATATTGGTAATAAACTGGATACCCTTGCTGTTATGGTGAGTAGTAATTATAAACTTGCTTTGTCAACAAGAGTTATAGTGATGCATCGAGTCTCTTGTAGGTCTAAATCTTTTATTTTGAAAATAAGCGATGTCCAATATTTATAAGAAAATTAAAAAAAAAAAGTAGTGCATGCATGTTGTTGGATAATTGCTGAAATGATATATTATCTTTTACAGTTAATGGGTGGCTATATCCGCATTGTATGTAAATATAACGAGCTAATACAAACTATTACGATAAACTGGATTACATTTAATGATGGTCAATGGCATCAATTGCAATTAACACAAAGTGGGAGAAAGTTAATTCTAAAACTTGATATGGGCTTAAATACGGCATCAACTTTAGTCAACGGTGCATTCCGAATCGAGGATATGGAATCTGGATATGTTTTACTTGGTACTGCAGCTTTACAATCTGCCAATAGTCCATTATCTAGGTTAATCCAAGCAAGAAATTTTGTAGGTTGTATACAAGACTTTGAAATAAATGACAATTTAATGTCACCATGGGGTAAAAATATTCAATCCAGTGATTATATGCAAAATATTGAGAAGGGATGTCTATCATCAGACTTATGCTTATTACAACCATGCCCATCAAATCATTCTGTTTGTGTCAGTGGCTGGAATTCATATCGATGCGAGTGCCCGGGGGGCTATTTTGGACCTAATTGTGGAAATGGATCATTAATAACTAATTCTTGCGAACAAGATCCTTGCGGTAGTCGAGGTCAGTGTATCGAAAACGCAACCTATGTTGGATGCCAGTGTTATCCACCTTATACTGGTGAATTTTGTGAGGCTAAAATAGATTATTGCTCCATTCATCCATGCTACAATAATGGTACTTGTGTTAGCACAGTGAATGGTCCTAAATGTCAGTGCAATAGTGCTTACTCTGGTCGCCATTGTGAAAAAATGTTTGCATATCCATGTGGTAGCCAACTTTGCAATATTTTAACTACTTGTATAACCCATGCCAAATCATCCAGATGCATTTGTAATAACGCAATGACAAGCTGTCCGTTAAAATGCGCTGATCGTCCGTGTATTAATGCTATTAACTGTGTTGATAGTGATCTTAGACCAAATTGTACGTGCAAACCTGGCTATTATGGCATTGCCTGCGAACAAGATATTGATGAATGTTTATCAAATCCGTGCAATAATGAAGGTCAATGTATTAACTATCCTGGATCATTTGCTTGCAAGTGTACAGCTGACTATGAAGGCGAATTATGTCTAACACCTAAACTCCGATTTGCACCATTAACTGGATCAGGTGGAATGCCGTTAGAGGATATATTAGGCATGAGTTTATTTATAGTAGCAGGGGTGGTTTTGGTTAGTCTCTTTATTATTTGGCGAAAGTGTAGAGTGCATTTTACCCAGAAAGTAACGATAAGCAATCCTCAACCCCCTATTGCAACACCTGGTGAGCAATTGCCACCGTTAAACGGTAGAGCGTCTCCAAGGCAAATTAAAGAAGATAAGGAAAAGCGTAAATCACCTGTATCTCCACGAAAAGATGCAATTGCTCCTAATTCTGAAGATGAAGATGTTAGTCAGTCAGAGATTGAAGTTGATGTTAAGAACCATAGCATCGATGAAACGGACAAAAAAATTACAACCTTAAATCAAATTGAATTAGAGAAGTCGATTCGAATAAATGTCAACGAAATTTCTAGTGGTAGATCATCTGCTTTAAGTTATCAGCGCCAACAAAGCAATAATCATCTTTCACCTACTAAGTTAAAAGATGATGCTGCGAGTTTCTTTATATCGTCTGAAGGTGAAGATACAAGTTGGAATACCTCTTATTCAGCAACAGAATCAGCTGAATGCGCTCGAGTTCGAAGATCTAAATTAAAGGGAAAATTGCCAACGTCATCATTTTATGGGCCAAATATTAAAGTCAATAAAGTTTCGCTTGGATATTCAAATAATAGTGATAATAGCAGTATTTCTAGTGCTTCATATGATTCTGAAATTGCTAATAGTACGTTTAGTGTTCGTGACATGTTAAAATCTCGTCAAAGTCGGCAATTAGACAGAGCAAAGATTAGCCAATCACATCGACGTTACGAGAATTATTCTGCACAGCCTGAAGTACATTCTTCGCCACAAATTGAAGATTATGCCCATTATCCCGGTCGACATGGCGCACAAGGTGAAGATTTCCCACAGCGGCTAACTTCCTCTTGGGATCCTAGGCGACAAAGAATGCGATTTAGCCTTCCTTTGCCAGTATCCGATACAGATGGTGGATGTACAAGTAGCGATAGCAGTGAGCGTGCAGTTCGTAAAACCAAGAGCGTTTTCGAACGTAAAATTGAGTCGGCTTTAGCTTTTCGCTTACGTGAGATGGATCGTCGATTCATATTTAATAAGCAAGTCGATGAAGTCAAGATATATAAAGATGCCGGGCCGGTGACCGATCATGATAGCGACAGCTCCAGTCTAAGTACGTTATCGTTTACAAGTTCAGTTGATGAAAATGGTGCTTGCTCTAATGACGGCGGTAGTACTGACCGATTTACTTGGGATTATACCGATATGAATATCGAGGAGTTTCCAGTTGGCTACGTAGACATAAATCCTTGCTCAGATGTATAGTTAGTCCCGTTCAATTTATGCCTCATACGAAAGATACAAAGATCTAGATCATATCCATATTATCGGCATACATATTGCCTTGATTGCTATAATAATCATGTACAATTATAATTGTAATCTGATTTATCATTAGGTGGATGAGTTTATATGATATCTTTTACTCCGGCGGGGATATGTCAACAAATCTAAATCGATGAGGCTATTTTATATTTATTCTAGTAGGAGAAGATTTGTGTACGTATACAACTGATAGGTCTACAGTTAGTGAAATTATTGATCAATGTCGCACAATTCGCCTATCTCTTTACTAGTACCAGTTGGAAAAAAAAAATGCGAATCCTTTGCCATGCTATCGACAATAACGTCGGAAATGTGTTTCTGAATTCGAGGAAATAAAGTGCTTGCTTACATTCCGTAGAATAATTACGGTAACTACAGTTTATAGACCTTAGCTGATTGAAATTATCAATTCTATTCTGGTTATAAATATCGTGCCATTACTTGACTTAATTCCGAATTTAGTGTCATACTAATATTTATTATTACCACCATTTTATTCATACTTTAAAAAACTTTAATCTATATTTGAGGACGGCAACGATTGATTGTCACTTTTATTATTATTATTATTATTGTAAAAATTGACCTAAGTTGGCAAATTTGGTTTCATTATGTTACTATTAACCTTTTTATGCTACTTTTAAAAACTTGTTATGGCCACTAAATTAAATTTGATAATTTTGAGACTTTTTATTACGGCAAAATTGATAGTTTGATATTGCACTGGGTATCTTTCATTAATTATGTGCAATTGAACTAGCGTATGCCTGCTTCGCTTAAAATATTAATAATAATAATAATAATTATAATAATATTGTTGTAGTAATAATTCTATCCAAATGCTGCACTTAATGGACTGTTTTATTACTAACGTTAAACGATGATGAGAATGCAGTCATGATTAACACACTATAATTATGCTATATTATCACTAACGCTATTGCTCTTGATAATATTCCTATTATTAATATTATTCTTAAGTCTATAATATTAATTTTTTTTATTAATATTATTCTATTGTTATAATAATTATTATCTAAACTGCTATTGTATTTTATATCATAAAGAAGATTGGATGCCAAGTGATCATATCGCATTTTATTTTTGATCACGGATTACTTGCGATCTTATACAATTCTAGGGTTGCGTAATTTGTGCTATTATAGATGCGATATACAATAATATCATTTGATTAGGCAAGTAAAATGGTGAGAAAAATCAATGGACTTTAATTTCCATTTGAAGATATAAAATACATCTACGTGTACATGTATTGTATGTATTATAAGTATTATTCTATCAAGCTAAAACATGTATACTGAGAGAACAAAAATATATCAAGAGTTTGTTTTGATAATAATTAATTCATAGATAATATACATTTATAACAGTAATAGAACGAAGTAATGTACAGGGAAGATTGAAAATTGTAATATTGTATTATTAGTTATTAATATGTACTAATAAACTAGGCTATCTAAACAGCCATGATATATGACAACCTTATTCTTGTCATGAGTCCATCTTGTTACGTAAACATAATAAGTTTCTTGTTACAGCCGAGAAATCAATTCTTTAATAAATAGAATATTGACATTGATTGTATGGTTAAGCAGCAATTAACTATTGAATATGTTATCATCGTCAGATTCTGATTTACTACTAATTATCTCTTTAAGAAGTAGACAAAATAAAATTCGCACTTGTCATTTTCTATTCGATATTATCTTGTTGTTACGGCATATAGATATATTCAATGCTGCTCATAGTATTAGTCTTTAGTCGACAAGTTTTGTCACAATCTGAAATATAATATAAAAATAGAAAGGGTTATTTAAAATTGATTGTAGCAATGATATCCACGCAATGCCAGATTGCTGCAAAGTAATGATAGTCGAATATTGCCTAATTAACAATGATGATTAAACGACATCATTATTATTTCCTTGCGGCATGACATTGGGTACCGGAATTTCATCATCATTAATAGCACTAGTCGAAGCCATGATGCGCTCTACTTGATAGCGTTCCTGTAATAAAATGGATAAAATTTTACTTTTATAATAGCAATAGTAGAAGCATCATATAAATAACCAATTTCAAATGTTAGCTCGCCTTTCTCTCCGCTAAACGAACAGAGTATGGAACATCAGGTATAACACTTGCTAGGAAGTATTTTAAGGCAAATACTCCATGCTAATTGTATTTATGATAAAAATTGATGATATATTAATATCACTCTAATAAGTAAATTGCCGAAAGTGAAGAAAAAATATGTAGACGTAAATTATAGTTAGTTATATGTATGGTGTATAAGTATACGCGTATGCTTGAACCATTTAAAGATTTTATATAATTGATCAAAAATGGACCAATATACCATAAACGCTTACCTCAAAGGCGACAACAATCCACAAGGCTCGATCACTAGCAGTTTGGATATTGATATATGTGGCAAATGATGAGGTAAAAGCGATTAAGAAAGCATTACTGACCACTCCAGCAATGTTCAAAAAGTTCAAAATCGGCATCCACATTCCTATAACGAAGAATAACATTAATTGACATTCCAGCAGAACTGAACAATTCTAAATTGCTTTATTCTTTACGTATGAAATTGTGCTAAAAGATCAGTACTAGATTATTAAAATAGTTACCAATATGCTGAGCCCGATTAGCAAGTAAACGGCGATCGTAATGCAATAAACGCCGACAGTCAATTCTCATGTCTACAGACATGATTAGTATAGCTAGTAATGGAGCCAGTGGAAATGCAGTAGCAAATAGCTGTATATATAACAAATAAAATGAAATTATTACTTTGATCTTAGAATAGCGATTTTAGAGCCTAAAATGCTACATCTATTTGCAATATCTAGAGAAGTCGATATAAAAAAGTTAATCAATTAAGTGGATTGCAAAGATCGTGGCTACTACATACCATAAGATATCCATACATAAGAACTAGTTCATGAAGAAAAATCGAATAAATTTAGAGTTAACACATGAAATAGCTTATTTCAACTATATTAAAGATTTATTTTTATAGAAAGTAATTCATAACTAACTTTTTTCAGTATATTCGGACATTGTAAAATCTTCTGTTTTATATAAATAATATTCTTTTGCAAGAGCATTTTCTTCTACTTCTGGATGAATATCGCTTCCTTTCTTGGTACATTTGTTGATAAAAATTTGCTTTAGCCATCTGTTATAAAGAGATTAATACGTTAGAAGCTCTTAAGTTAAGATTTGATGCATTGTATTGCATAAAACCAAAATTCATAAATAGAAGATACAATTAAACATACGGCAATATTATATCTCGGAAGAATTTTGGCATCGGCTTAACTATGAGTAATACTGCCACTTGTATCGTCAATAGTGACATGCAATCATCATCAGTACCACAAGAATCGCGATATTGAGTGCCTAAATTGAACAGTCCAGCTCTCTGAATGTCCTATTAAATATGATTTGAAGAGCAATAGTAAGCATAAGTGGATTATTGGTACAGGTGGTCTTCGATATGGTAGTTATATGTAGGATAACTATTTTAAAAGCTAAACGAGTTAAAGATTCTATTCTTATTCCGAAATAAGGCACTTTACCTTGCGAAAAAATGCAATATAGAAAAGTGAAGTATAAGAGTTGACAAATTGAAAGGCAAATGTCTTTAGAATTAACGAATCATCATATTCTGTTTGAGTACGATAATTCTCTAAAAATTGAATATGCGAACCACAATGATCAGAATGGGGTTTTCGATCGCCATATTCATATTACTAAATAATTTGAAGCGGTAACACAATAGAGACTACTATTTTAAATTCCTACCCCAATCGTTCAACCATTTTGCAATTTTTGAATAAATCTATGGCATGATATGAAAGATAATAAGATAAATAGGTTATTTTATAACCCATTTAGAGCTATAAAACAATCACTACATTGAGAATTAAAATTCTTACTCGTCCTAGGATCATAATAGAAATAGTGTTCAATAAGCTTGAAGTTATGGAGAAAAACCAATTGCTATACTGAAAATTTAGCTGGCTATTAATTTTCAGAATGACACGGAAGGCAATAACAGCTGTAACACTAGCAATAACCAAGAAAACCTGAATAATTTATTGGTCAAGATAAAGGAAATGTGTTATTCTCATCAAGTTAACTTAATTGATATATTGGATAAAGTGAAAGCGCAGAATTCTTATAAAATGAGCATTTATCATATACCATAAAAAGTAGACAAACTCCAGATGCAAGAAGTTTCATAATTCTCTTCGATATTGGATAAATTGGAGTTTCAACGCCAGTTACCGGATCCTATCCAATTATTCGATATTAAATTTTCGTAAATTGTTGACAATACATTGCTTTAGAGATTAATTAGTAAAATGTACCTTAGCAAGCTTAGTTCCATAAAATTCAGGCCGATTTGGTTCCTACATATAATTATGTTATCATAATGAGCAGAAATGAAAGACTGATTTAGAATAGAAAAACTATCATCGGACATTTATCTATGATGTAGTAATAAATAATTTTCACGTTTGTTCCATTTAGTGCTATACTCGATAAAAAATTCATTGGGAGTAATATTACATATATGATAAGCTAAACGAAATGCGGTTCAAATATATAAAAGAAAATTGATAATTTTCAATGCTTAACGAAAATACACAACAAACTGGTTAGGTATCACCTAAGAAGGGATTTGTACATAGTATGATAACCTAGCTGTGAATTTTGTTTTAGTGTAGTATTTTGTGTAGAATACGTTCTCGCTCATTTGAACGGGTGCTTGGCTAGTTTGCATGAGTACGATAGAGACGATATTAAAATGCAAAAGGATCTTTAGTCCTTACCCTACAATCACATATTCTATAAAATATTTATTTACAATGATTCTGTATAAGCATATAAAAGATATCGTTAGATTGTCAGTGTTTTGTATACTTTGCCAAATAGAACATACGCGTGATGTAAATAGGAATCACTTAAGCAAATGTCTAATTATAATTATTGCTTTACTGTTAGCAACCTAGTACAGTCATGTTGCGCAGCATGTTTTATATTAAGGATAGACATATAGATATCAAAATTTTAGTTATTTGATTTTTTTACCTGTAACTCATAATTGTTGACATCCCATTTGTAGGCTAATGTCGCGCACTTTCGTTTCCACATTTCAACAAAGATTGTACCTATAGAAACAATAAATGTGATTTTGATTAATTTCTGTTATTTTGGTGTCGGTTTTAAGTTATATTGTATCTGGGTTAGGGGTGATCCAAACAAAATCGATAACTCTAGGTTACTTCTATAAGCTTATTATTCTTAATATTTACCCCAGATGCAAACTACTAATCCATAATAAGGGGTAACTTCATTATCGCAAGCTTTACTTAACCAAGTGTAATCAAGATTTGTACCATTTTTGTACTGCGCTATGTAGCTGCAATCAATGGATGAATATAGCAGAGAAAGAGCAATAAAAATGGTACATGTTTAATATTAGAATTCAGTATTGAAGTTCTACTTGAAAACTAGCAATTCCGTAATGAAATAAATTAGCGTCTATTTTAGTAAAATACCTAAAGTATAGACCGTAAATCATGCATCCAGCGCCAAAGAGCATGGGTATAAATAATGATGAAATTAACAATCCTATGTAAGAAAAAAATTGGACGATTAATAAAAGATCTATCTATCTAAATAATAATTATCTGAGGATTAAAAAAGTAACATTATACCTAGCCAAGCAAAGTAGAGGGCAATCTTTTCACCAAAATAATTGCGAATTCTCCATAATGGCTGAAATTGGAAACAACTTCCCCATGAACGATATAATTCTTCACGCTCAGTATTTCCTATTTTACTCGCGACCTTTTTACCATTAACGAATGGATTATGCAAGACGAATGCATCCGAATATGCTTTTTGCATGATTAAATATAATAGGCCTAAAGTAAATTCAGCAAATAAAGTTTGTTTAAGTAGTTTGCATGTGTTAGACGATGGTAGAATTCTTCGATATAGAAATTGTCCATATTGCTATACCCCGGCAATTTATCTTGTCTTCTGTATCAGCTCCTTGACGGATGTCCGTATTAATCAATATATTATGGACCTAAAGTTAAGCATTAATGTTATCGTAGTGAGATCGTTAAAGAAAATTTCTACCATACAATTTGTAGTCTAATAGTCTGAAATAGAAATCTTTTCATTAGCTACTATCCTTGTGCTTAACTAACCAGTAATGAACGAACAGAATTGCGAAAGAAGGATCTTGATTTTTCGACTCCTTCGAAGGCTTGCCTCTTATTCCATACAAATGGAGCGCTAACATAATCCACTAGACATAAATTTACAACGTAATCGTTTAATTTATATCTAATAGAAATCGATTAATTTTATAATGGAATGATTTCAAAGTTTGTTATAGAGTTAACAAGGATAATGTATTTCTATAATCTCTCAATTATGTAGGAGATCAAAATGGTAGAAATTAATCAGTATTACAAACCTTGTTCATCAGTACGGAAGAGCCTACCAATGCAACCTTTTGGTTCCTCATTGATTTGTAACTAGAAGTTATCATGACATAGGATTAAATCAATATGGTATTAAAAATAAGATCGAATTACCGGTAATGAGTTGATTAACCAACAGAAATCATATTTTTTTAACTGTATCTAACAATAAATCGTTTGATTCTGAATTTATTGACAAGAACAGAAAATACTTATAAACTTGAAAGAATTGATAGTACGGAATGAAATTAATACTCTAAGAAATTGTGAATGTTATCAAATAGTCATTTACTGATAACTCGATTAGACGATACAGTATCTTGTTTTTAAGATTTAGCGCTTTTAGTAGCAACAATCTATTTGAAAATATAGCTTAGATACAAGGGATGGATAATAGATAAGAATAGACAGTTTACATGCATACTTACTCCTGCTAGATCCATTTCGTAATTGACTTTTTCCGCTTCTTTACCCATCCTTTTAAAAGGGCAATAGATTTTAACAAAATTGAGATGTAAAACTTTCTCATACGTTACTTGTAAACCATCTTCTTGTAGTCTCTCTTCGAAAATTTGTCTCTGTTCAGCTCTTTCTACTTCTCTTGGATTGCTTGGATCGTCACAATCTTTATAAACTAAAACGTAATCAATGGGTCGTTCGGTCGGTTCTTCCAGTGAATAACTAGCAATTTCATCGTGGAATTCTGTAGCAGTGGCTACTTGAACTTGTGGTGGGGGCAGTTTTCCCTTACCATATGAGGACTTATCATATAATTTTTCAATATCGATGTTTTCTGTTGACTTTTTGGGCATGATTTATACGTATCTTTAGGATGATTCGATTTTTTAAATTAATTTTTATCCTGGATAAATAATTTGATATAGACAAAGTTTTGTACAGGTGTAGTGTTATCGTTTAGAAATAATTTTTCTCTTATAATTTTGATTCACTTACTAACATTACAGATGAAGAATAAGCAAAAATGGGTAGTTGTGTGAGTTTTTTCGTAATACTGAATCAGTCGTTGTTATACAGTATGATATACAGTATGGCAATGTTTGAATAATAGATGACGATGCCGTCGTAAACAGTTTTATCAATACTATATCGGACTAAATTATTCTATTGGTTTATCATGCTAATTAAAAATGTTATTATGTCGTTATTGTCAAGGCAATTTGTATTGATGCCCTGACTGAATTAAGAATATATTGGTCATGTTGGCGTATGATATAGTATGATGTTTCAGTACAAATCTATCTAATATAGTAAAGATATACGGTATAGTATAGTAAATTTTCCACTTCAATTAAAAGTAATTATTGTTATTATGGTATCGCAATTAGGTTTTTCTGAAGTAGATACACCTTTCTATGCTAAGGAAAGTTGATTTTGCTATGATTGGCTTTTATTTTGGGAAAGATTGATTTGAAAGCCTATTGATACTGATCAAAATTAAAAAATAGTGATTATACGCTTACGATATATTTACCTCTTGATACTAGTTACAGTACTGGTTAAAAAATGGATATATTACAAAGTCTAATCATGGTTTGTATTAAATATAATACAGACCATCGTTAGTCGTTGTGTTCCTACTCAATACCACACATTAAAGGCCATGAAGGCGAGTCCTGATGTATTTTTTATTAGCAGTATAGAATGTTAATGGATAAAATTACCACTTGTTACCTAGAACAATGTATAGGATAAACAAGGTTGCTCGTCGTATTAATATGCTATGAAAAGGGTTAATCAACGAGCTCGTAGCAACTTTCTTATTTTTTCATAAAGTCACTATTTTACGTATAATAATAATTTTTAAATGGAGGTCCCAAAAATGTTATACTGTATCGCATTGGGCAAATCTTGCGGTATTTGGATTATAACCAAAGGTATGGATTTACGAGTCGATAAAATGTTCTCCTGACTCGAGCCATTCCTTTTTTATTCAAGTACATTGATATAGCACGTAGGAGATTGTGAGCCACTAATATACTTTATTTCTACTGTATACCATATAGAGAATATCTTCAAGTCAGAAATAGTCAAAATGTACTGTTGTGGCCAATCTACTGACGTATAAAAAGTGAATGGATCGCTAAGGAGTGCTATATTCAACTGTTAGTTGTCCCTATTTAGATATACGCGTCTGTGTACGTATTTTCATAACCAGCATCATTTTTATTATAGAAGATATTGACAATGTTGATTGCTGTAGTAATGTACTGTAAATTAGAATCGTCATGATTGTTAATATCAGTCGTAAATGGTAAAAAAAAGTGATATCTAAAGTCTTTAAGCTAAAACTACACGAATATTATAGAAATTCTTGCATCGACCCTGGATTTTAAAATGATATATAAACTGACGGAATACTAGTATGTCAGAGGAGAGACCAACACCTACAAAATCAATAGTGGTCGAAGTTAAGAAGGAACTTCTTAACTTTGAACATACAGTACTGTAGATGTAGCTATGGTAACCATGATGATCATAATACCATTTAATACGAATACTACTGTATTATTTACTGGTTCTATTGATTATCATGGATGGACGGCAATCAGCTTTTAATAGAAATTAGCGAAGTATGCTTTAGATTTGGCCTACTGTTTATACCAGTTTCTACTCTACACAAGTATCATATATACGAGTTATATTATACACGTATTAGGATACCTGACAGTTAAAAAATTCCTCGCCAATCCTTCCGACTTTGGAGGGTTTAAATGACTACAATAATGAATGGAAAAATACGAGGTAGATATCCTATTCTACTTTGTCTGATACTTGTTACTAGCTGAATGCTAGCCGTACAACTTGAAATAGAATAATAATAATATTGGTCTACTGGATAGTATATTGATAAGTCTAAACAGTATATATCGCGAAGGGCGGGATGCCATCTTGTCCTACTCGTCTTGATTGCTACTGTACTGACAGGGCAATCGATGTCGTTGTTGGAAAATTCTGCATTGCAAACAGGCTGTTAGTCTAGAATAAATTATCAAATGATCAAGTGAGTAATATTAATATCGGGGGGGGGGGATATCCATAAAATCTTATTTATTTCATATTGAAAATTTTATTCAGCACCATGGTGAGTAAAATGGTTACTGCTAGGCGAGCTTGATTATATCGATCGATTATTTGACATCCTCATACTGTGCTAGCAAAATATTGGGATCGTAGGTCACCTGTGTAAAACAGATGTCATCTATGAACAAAATGTTTGCAGTATAACGTCGAGATTTTATGATATTTTATTTCACACATTTGTCTACGGCGTTTAGAGCCGCTCACACATTTCAAAAGTCTCCTATCTACATCGTACTTAAGATGAAAATAAGAATATCAATCTATGAATAGAATACCCAGGCTATGGTAATTTACGTTCATGATCGAGAGAATTTGGTTACAAGTTCTTGCTTAGAATGACCTTCAGCTTGAAACTTGTTGTATGCCAGCTGATATTGCACGATAACTGTGAGTTTTAGTCAATGGTAGATTACTATGCATTGTGTAGTACTGTAGGCAAAGCAATACACGATTATAAAAGCCCTCTTCGATACTTTCATTTTACCCTTGTATATTATATTTTAATGGAAGGCTTGGCTTTTTGTCAACCACACACTACAAGAAAAAATGGCTGTTAACAACGAGTCAAATTAGCCGGCCGACTCGCTGGCTGGTCATTTCAAGTATACCGTCTACCTTGAACCGTACACTATACTGTCCTCCTGAGTCCAATACTGTCGTTAGCCAGCCCATTTTGGGCAATCATTAGTCGTCGCCATTCCCTTTCTTCCAGCTAAGAGAGAGATGATAGCCTATTTTAGGGGCAGTGACACGGATAAAAGCACCAGTTCTCATGATTCCATAGTGACTGCTCTGTTAGTCTGCCAAATATAGCAATAAATGAAGATCAATCCATTTCATTTTTTTCAACAAAATGGCGTCAACAATTTTGCGAGGAGGAATCTTCTTTCCTTTGTTGATGTCTTACAGTGAAATCCAGACGCTTTCGGTTCAGCTTTGGACCGTAGATTACAGTACTTGCTACGGTACGGTATCGTACCGTGGACGACAAGACCGGAAAAATTTTCAGTATAATTTTTTGCCTAGTCAGTGGCCATTCAATGTCCTCCATGACAGCGATGATGTTGAGAGTGGCGTCCATGAATTCAACTTGTTACGCTAATAGCGATGTTATTCTTGGCAAGGATGATCTATTAGAATGATAAGATGATTTATTGATTGCTGTTATTGCCAGAATTTCGGTTTCGCTTTCAGCTATTGGACGATATACGCCTAGAGAGTGAGAATCATGGCCGCTGAATGTGCTCAATTATTGCAGAGTATTATCGACAGTCAACATGAAAGCGCAGTCAAACGCTCTGCTATTATAACACTGTTAAATTATAATGCCAATAATCAACCATCTGCTGTGGCATCAATAGATGTATTGCAAGTTGCTGTCCAATGGTTTCTGTATACAGATATACCATTAAAGAATCAAATGGCGACAATCTTGTTGAAATTTATTGTTCAATCCGATATGGAATTTTGTATGCGTCAATTGATGAGCGCTCATCGTTTACAACAACTACTGTTACAAAGTACCAATGTCGATCAACTTCGTATTGCACAATTTTTCCATTCTATTATGATGGTTATCAACCGTGTTGGTCATATTAAGATAGATCAGCAAGTATTAGAGGTATTGCTAGCTTGCATGATTTCTTGGGATAACATAGAAACGATTGTCAAAATGGCATCACAATTAGTCGATCATTGTCGTCAACAAGGTTATTCAAGCCAACTTTGTCTTGTTCTAGTGATGTGCATCGCTCGTAATCATCAACATCATCCTGCTAAGCATCACACTATACATACTGATACAACAACAGAAAATATTTTAAAGGTGATTGATCAAATGTCCAAGTTAATTGGCGTACTATGTCAAGATCAATCCATTGCTCTTCATTATACGATTACATCAATCCTAAGCTTAGCCATGTCCATCAATATCTCAATAACTATTCCTGACATACCTGGTGGCTCATTGCGTGATGCTGTCTTACGTTATTCACCCCTCAATCCATCGCCTTTCGTAGCTTATGCACTCAAGTATGTTTCAACGACGAGTATTAATCAGTCAGTACTAGACATCGCTAGACATACTGTTCCATTTCCTGATGCCCTACTCTCTTTAGCTGCTGAAAGATTACTGGACTGGATGGATTTATTACTGTCAAAATCAACTCATCTTGACGATGCTGCTCCTGGATGGTTAGCTTGTATACTTCAATTTTTTGTAACTATGATTGACCATGGTCGAGATAAAGTTATCGATAGTGTACTTCGAAGTAAAATTGATCAGGTTAGTTGTCATTTATTACTATCGGTTGTTATTGACATTGATTAAAAGGTAGTACAACATCATGATTTGTCAAAAAGCGATAAATGCTAGAATTTATGTCAAACATTTGTGCTAACTTTGCAAAAGTTGGATGCAAGTAAAAGTGGTTATATATTTCTTACTTTATAGATATGCCGCTGTCTCCAGAACAAACATGCATGCTCTTCAATGATACCCCTAGTTCACTTGATATTGTGCCGTCATTATCATTCTATTGATATTGTTTCCAAGGTATAATCTTTTACATGTAATGCCATAATTATGAAATTGGGCCTTATCTTTGGTCTAGGGAGAAAGAGCTATTACTTACATTATATATAAAAATAATTTTTTTCATTATTGTGTACTACTGTATTATGATATTGTTTCTATATGCTATTCCATAGCAGTAAATTTATTTATTTACACTTTGACATTATCAGCTGTTACTGATACAGTTACTCTGACTAGTTTCCCTAAGTTGACTTTTTAATTGCCAGGTCATCAATCACTTTCTTTCGATATTGGATACACTCTATCAAGATCCTGACTTATTCCCATCCTATAAGAAATGTTGCCAAATCGTACATGCGCTATATTACTCTATTCCAAACTATCAAAAATTACTTAGACCAATTTTTAATCATACAAAGGTAATTTTATCCGATTGCAATGCATGCTAATATTTTTATTTAAGATAGATACGCAGCGACCATATCGATGGTTTACTTTGTACAAAAAAATTAAAGTATGAAGGTATCATTAAAATCAATTTCTCGCTTATTTTTTAATGTAGTATGTTCCTAAAGAAGAAGAATTAACATCTTTACTATCAGAATATGAGGTCGTTGATCGTGGAAGCTATTTAAGAAATCGATCGTTAATAATAAAGAAGATTGGCTTAGATAATTTAGGCAATACCTGTTATATGAATAGTATTCTGCAGGTCCTATATATGATTGATGGGTTAGTCATGATTATACGTATAGCACTGACAACATGTACAGTACTATTAGCAACTTTAATCATCACGCAGATAGAAATTGATAATGATAAAAAAATTGTTGATGGTGTTTGTTGTACTAAAAAATTTATATTTACGGTTTGACATCTGTAGCTTTCGAAAATTTATCATTAGCTCTACATTTGATGGAAAGCAACCATTATTAATAGAATTGCAGAGATTATTCGTATATTTAACATTATCGCAGGTATGCTAACGTTCTATATTGCTAATAATTGCTTACGTTATCCTGATGTAACTATTGCAATCTCATGATGATGATTCAAGTTTATAGCTACAAATGCTGTTACCTACTAAAGAGATTTAACGTTTTGCTTGTAGAGGGAATCTATATGTCCTCGCGAATTTGCAAGATTATCACGCCCAAAATGGTTTCAAGAATTTGAACAACAAGACAGTTCAGAATTTTTAAAATATTTATTAAGTTCATTTGATAAAGAAGAGAAATTGCAAAATCGCAGTCGAAACGATATTCAACATTTCTTTCAAGGGGAATTTGTTAACCATATTAGGTGTAGAAAGTGCAACAACGTAATGCAACACAAAGAAGAATTCTTAGATCTTATGCTTGCGTTTGGTAATGAAAATGGTAAAGAAATATATCTGTATATATGTATATTTTAGCTAGTTGCAATCTATGTTTACTTTCTTTGTAATCATTGAACCTGATAATCTATAACAATAATCAACTTTATTTAATGTTTCTTTTTATTTTGTTTAAAATACTTTTCTATTATTGGTTGATGGATCATAACTTCATTGACAGCGGATACATTAACAACCAATGCTAATTCTATGCCAGATAAAGCAACAAGTAGCAATTCAACTACCGCCCATCGCAGTCTCAATAATTATTTAGATAACGATACTCATGTTCATACTGGATATTCCTTGCAAGCTTTACTGGAGAAATTTTTATCTGAAGAGCAATTATTGGTTGATCAAGGCAATTCTTACTCTTGTGATCGATGTAATGAAAGTACTGATGCGGAAATTATGCGAACACTTACGAAATTACCACCTTGTTTAATCCTGTCGCTGCAAAGATTTTCTTACAATACTTTAACTCATAAGCGATCGAAAATTTTTCGTAAGGTACACTTTCCTAATGAAATATCCTTACCATGTCACATGGCGGATCAGTCCAGTAGTAGTGAAAGTGATGATATGACGGAATTGTCTTCTGGAATATTGAAGAAGGAGGATCCATTGTATTCTATGTCTCAAGAATACAAATTGATAGGATATAATTTGCACTCTGCTGTAATTCATTCTGGTCTAACAGCTGATGGTGGGCATTACTACAGCATAGTTAAGACGCCTTTGGATTGCAATCGCCGCGATAACGTTCCTGTGGCTGAAGTTACTGACAATGGCTCTGGATGGATAATATTTAACGATACTCATGTTCAATGTAATGATAATTCTAATGCATTAAACAATATCGGTCGTGATCACTTTTACGAGGTTGCGTACATATTGTTTTATATGCGGCATGATTTTCAAGTTGATGAATGTAATTCTCCTCATTCAAGGAACTCCATGTGTGGAGATTTGCTTATGAAGCAAGATTTAGTTCGCGAAGTCATTCTTGATAATGCAAGATATGCGCAGGTATTTGGAATTAAGAATTTACTCGTTAAATAAGATAAGATTCTATTACTTATTACATTGAAAATTATTTACGAAGTAGAACTTTGTATTTATTAATTGCAAGTATCACGTAAAAAAGTTTCCATATTATGACGTATTGTTGATGCAAGTTCACTTCTACCTTAAAACACTTTGCGTACATTCCGATAGAAATGAATATGTAATGAAATTTTGAAAATTATTGTCATTAATTGTCTAATCTTACTTAATTGGTAATGCAACGATAAAGTATCTTACACGTAACGGGTCTAGCTTAAATTATTTGAAAATGATTAGTTACTTTGAGCAAGAGTAGTACTTTATATTGCATGCATATTCCATGTAATGAATTGACTAAATCAGATTTATCGGTGTAGTTGTTCATTTACTAAGAACGGTTGTGATAGCTTATAAAATTTTTCCTCTGATTTTTTACATTTTAATTGAATAAATAACGGTTTATACTGTTGACAATGAATAATTTTTAAATACTAATAGGAAAATCAGTCCAAGAAATCGGAGAATATTACCAAATTAAGGAATCTGGGTCCCGATGATAATAATAACGACGATGCTGGTTCATCTGGTAGTAACAACCGAGATTATGACATTCCTATAAATCGATATATATACTAATATAGTTATTATTAAATGTTATTATCGATATATATTATGAATTGTCTTGTCATCGGTCGTGTTGATACCAGTCCTTTGTAAAGATATATAAATTAACGTAGGATTGCTAGTACTCTTTAATCATGCCGTATAATTCTTTATTTTATTGAGCTATAATTGAACCATTCTCTATACTATGAAGTCTATTTTGGTCGTATTATTATTTATGATATGCTCTGTGTAACGTCATTGCATATACATTCCATTTTATAATACACTTGGTAATTTTTAAATGATACGATAAATAGGGCAGTGAGTTTAATTTACTTAGATTTCAAAGTCTACGTTTGTGGACATATGTACAGTACAGTAATGTATGCTTGAATCACTTCATCTAAAGTTATGTGCGCATAATGAATAACTCCATGGTTCGTAAGCTATACGTAGACGTATAAATACCTTGCACTTGCTATTTCTTGGTCAAGGGTAGAAAGATAGGATCAGACTTAATTTGTGTGAGATTATATCGGTTAATCTATCAGTAATATTCTATTGAACGCTCGGTATAAACTTGAATGATTTTTGTAATTAAATTTTTTGGCACTTTCGGTTGAGAAGCATCGATCGAATACTGTATTAACTGTAGGATTTTAGAATATGAATATAAATATTTGTATGTATGGAACGCGGCTGAGATATGACCCTTCCTAAGCACGAGTATAGCTATTCATTCATTACAGTGTCAGATTTACTTGGATATCATGTATAATGATAATATATTTTGTATTACCAGTATAACGGAAAATATTTACAAGGGATGATTATTAATATATAATGATCAAGTTTAATATGGATATTTAAAAATTATTAAATTTAAAATCTTGAATTTATGAACATCTTCAAATATCTGTATATTAATTATCATACAAGCTATAAAGTAAGAATACTACTTCCTAATGTCCACGGTGCTCATTGATAATCGCCATTATAGCAATCAGTTTCACTTACATAGTATTACGATTGTTATGTATTGTATGAGTTTACCGTTTCAATTGGAATTATTGACAACTGTCTTCATAAGTAAAAAACAGTTTGCTTAGTTAATTTTAAGCTTGCTACATGGAATGAGCAATTCTTAATCGATGATTAATATGTAGTGTAATGAAACATGAAAGGGTCACTCTTTTATAGGGCCTTACTATCATGCAATTGGAGATCATTGATAGTGGATAGCTTGCTGATTAATAAGCAAAAGCTACAGTATATTTTACTAGTCTACGAGATAATCAAATCCGTATACAATCAAATAAACGATATTACTAAAACTGATGATAATACAAAATTATTATTGTTTAATTTATTTAACTTTGAATGGTGAAATCTATTAGATTGGCAAATATGTGCTCAGATTACGTATTCATTCTTTTAATCATACTAATCATTGAGTAAAAGAACAAAGAGCAGATGGCTACGCTGTCTAAATTATCGAAATATGAAGTTTAAAACGACAACTGGACGAGAATAGCATCAATGCGTTTATTCATATATTTATAATTAAAAATGTTGGAATACAGGATGTCTTTGACACAATATAAATTAATTTTTTACTATTATAGTCTAGGAAACTTAATTATTGAGTTGCAATGTTGTATAGAATAATTTACGTCAACAATCCGAACTAATGATAGTGTATTGTACAGGGTAAAAAATTACATACGCTCTCTAGGGCTACTTTTTAATTTGTAATATATCAAAAAGTACCGTCTTTACTGGTTGATTAGATGTAATATTTTACAGCTTTTCACGATATACTGTACAGTTGTACACCAATGGTATAGCTAAGCGATGGTTGTCTAGATAGGGAGCAGTTCTACTGTACGTTGGAATATTGAAGATTATTGAAGATGTTTTAAAAATTACTTAGTATTTATCATGAAAGCTAGAGTATAATATAGCCTAGTCTTTAGTTTTTATTTCTTGAGCTAGAATGTATTATTCCTGAATTTATTATTCTAGTACATATTTAATCTACAGTATTATTGTCGTTTGATTGTATCGGTTGATATTGACTCAATCTGCCTATCCTTCACTTTATTAGCTCTTTCGGTAAACAACATTTTATGATAAACAATAACATGCAAAATTCTAGGATAACTACTGTATAATACTCCATGATATGTGAATACTAGCCAAGCATGTACATTGTGTAGTAATGTGTCTACATGTTAATTTCATTTTTTGATTTGCCGTATTATAAGCAATGCCAGTCAATTGAAACTTTACTGTCGATATTCACCTGATTCCCAGTTAAAGTATATTTCTTCCGCAGTATTATTCTTGACTTTATCTACGTATCGTGCATTGTATGGATAAATGTCGACAACGAAGTGGAGATGAGTATATAGAGTATTTACATATAAATGATATTTTCTTGACGGATAAGGTTAATTAATTGCATATGTACGCATCCATCGATCTATAAAGTAAACAAATAATAATAAAAAAGAGAAAAAAATGGACCCAATTTTGAACATGGCACTAATTCATTCCTTTCAATATTATTTACGGCATTGGCTAGATATGAACTACTGTCTATTTAATCCTAATTTTAATTGCTCGCTTATTAAAAAAAAATACAACAGCGTCTCTAGTTTTGACAGTTCTAACTTGTGAATAGACAATGCTTTAAGTTTATACTACAGTAATTAAATTAATACTAATGCCGTTGATTTCAATTTCCAATATCGAGCGTTAATGCCATTGAATTGTATACTCTTGCAGTATTGTAGATCGATACTGATATGTGTATTCCTCTATAGTATCAATACTTAATACGCGTTTACCCATCGACGTGGATGCGTGGCGAGTATAGAGCGTGCAAGTTTGGAACAGACTTTGGTTGCACAGTAGTGGTTCAACTTTGATCCTTTTCAACCTTGCACACCAGTCTATCGATATGATATAATCATGTACGCGTATCTAATCGGATGGTAATCCTTATCCTTTTTTTCTATTTTTATTTTTTTAATAACGAATTTTAGTCCTTAGTATTGGCCTGGAAGGTTTTTGTTGATTTGTTGGGCTTTGATTATCATTTTTAATCAAGCAACAATAGATGGAGGACAGGTGTTGGAGAATTCTGTAGGTTATTTCAGTTGTACAATAGAAAAATGCTATTGAATCAAGCGATAACCAAAGTATTGAGTGGATTTTCTTCTTATTAATCTCTTCTATTGGCTTAGCGATAGTGATAATCAATGAATACAAGCGAACAGCAAGCTTATGGTGCTTTACGTGATGTCATTAGTACAGTATAGTGTCGCAAGTAGGACAATGCGCATTGATGACTGTCTTCAGGCAAGGTTGATTTCCATATTTGTCTAGGCAAGTGTAGACACGTCAGTCTATTTCTATCCTACTCCACTTGTGTCTATTTTATCCTATGTACTAACAGGTACTGTGTCTATGAGTCGCCAATTGTCGGATGATTTTAGGAATGGATCCATTGATCTTACGTAAAATCCCTTACTTGATGACGGCATGTGCCTACCGTGATGATGTCATTTTTTCGATGGAATTGCTTGTTGGTCATCTACAGTATTGCTGTACCATTGATGCAAGTACAGTATACTACCTTAGGATCACTCTCTCTCGATACTTTTAATATAATGATCTCTTGAATCATGACCCTAGATGATCGCTTTATGTTCATTTTGCTTGTAAAAACCAAAAAATAAATCCTAGAGAATGCTGATGGATAAAACCATTTATTCCTAGTTAGAAGTGTAAGCAAAGTTAATACACTAGTGTACAGTGTACAGTGTACAGTGCAGTATGGATCGATGAAGCAATACTGTACTGTACCGTCAGCAGCAGTCGTTTTACAGTACCTTATGCTACAGTCACTGATGTCAGTACTGTACACTGAGTACTGTAGAATACAGTACAAGATGCACTCTCTACAGTATCTCGTACTGTACTTGAGTACTGGAAAAGGAGACGAAATCTTTTTGGACTGGCAGTACTAGACAGTGCTACAGTACTGAATGTACTGTCCACTGTACACTGTACAGCACAGTACTGTACGGTGGAGGACAGTTCAACCTGAGAAGGGTCCGGTTCAATTTCGGTTCTACAGTACAGTGGACACTGGAATAGCACTATCCACTGTCCACAGTACTGTACTGTACAGTATGCACTATGCACCGTCCACAGTACAATGCACCTGACTACTGTACTCTACAGTACACACAGTACAGTGTACTGTAAACTACAGTGCAGCGTACTGCGAACTACAGGACAATGTACTGTGAAACACAGTACACTGTACTCTACTCTCTACAGTAACCAGTGGAAGTTGCCCTCCAAGACCGTGCAAAATCAAAAGTCGATGTTAACAAAGTGAAAAACTTGGAACAAACTTCTATCCATGCGTAGTTTTGCAGACTTTTTTACTTTATCCAAAGACATCCAATCGTTGTACTGTTGCCAAGTGAAGGAAATGTAAGTCGATGGTTTCACAATCAATTTTAAAAGACTACACCGAAAGGAATGTATATTCTATGACACAGTTATTATTTTATTCATGGTGTGACTTTAGGTCATGACTCTCGACTCAGTCTAGATGGAATTGATACATTGATATGAGTGGAAATTGCCACTCTTTGACTCTCATGCCAACCAACTACTGTAGTCATAGATCACGTTTAGTTGATACGGTCATTGCTATTGAATAAACATGCACAAAGTAGCCTAACCATAGACGGTCAATTCTACTGCAATAGATTGTGCTTTCGTATGAAGTCATGGCTAAGAGACAATTAGGATAGGGATAGCACCATTGAAATATGCAATTCGTATCCATTTCAATCCATCCATAGACTGTCTATGTCCTACTGTATTACTGTTACTCGGGTAGATAGTCCTCAATACTAGTTGACATTGAAAATGATGTTGTTAAGGCAGTCGGTGATATTACTGCAGTTTACACTTTCATTGTGCTCATGTTTGGCTCCACTTCGGTTGTCGAAAGCAATTGACTGGCTCATCTTTCCATACACAGAAATCATTGCTAATTGGATCACCATGTTAATCATGTTATTCATTGGCAGTGGAACATTATTGGCTAGACGATTGTCCATTTTGCTACAGTTCATGACCGGTCCATGACTACAGTACTTGTACTCTATACTCCCATAGGAAATGCTTTCTTTCTGCCCTGTCTACAGTACCATGTACCGTCGATTGGAGCCACCAATCTTCCACCAGGCCTACTACACTAGAATAGAAGTATTGTGTATGGGTGTCGAGCACCGTTTCAGTATCTTACCTCTTGTTCACTATAGCAGGCCAGAAAAATGCATTCATCACCTTTTCCCACTTGTCTCTCTTCAACTACCCAAGTGGAAATAAAAATTATTATATTCAAAATTGTCAAATCAAACCTAAACCAAATCAACGCATTGTATGTCGTCCAAAAGAGAAAGTCCATTACTACTCTTTTCACCTCTTTACTACTGTAATCGGGTATATAGTCGGTACATCATTGATATTCAATAGAATCCCTGTAGGATAGTATTCAGCGCTCTGTCTTACTGGCTCTCTTACTCCTAGCAAGATGGAGTACCTTTCACAAAGTAGTATTTTATCCGTGCTCATGCTGATAGACCTACAGTATTATGCCTTCAATAGGAATAGAGTATCAATATTCAACCATTTCGTCCTCCCTTGGTCTTGATGTGACTGATTGAAATTGGATATTGTTCAAGGATCATGATACCTTCATTGATGCCCATGACTCGTTGCTATCATCCATATTATCGTCTTTTAATACGTGTACAAGCGTTATAGCGATAGTAGCACTCTAGTCCATAAAGTCCTGATTAACATCAAATAGGTATCAACGGTTTCCTTTTTGACAACGTCGAATGGTAGAATAATTCTTTGCTGTTAGCAATAAAATATCTTTCGCAAAGTGGTGCTATCTTCATCCATTTTGGACACTAGGTAACCGTACACTATCATCCTTACTACCAAGGCTATATCAATATATTGTACTGTATATTCAACAATTTAGCCCATCAATCTTAATATGACTGATTGAAATGATATCCTGCTAAAAAGCCTGATCGTTATAACGTACGGTTGTATAACAACTCGTTGCTAATAGTAATAGAGTACCGGGCACCAAGTCAATGTTACCTGACACACATGGTTACTTGTCTAACCGAATAGGATCATTTTCTAATACAAGTGGAGTATCAATATTAGGAGTAAAAATACTGAATCTAATCGAGGAGATTGAACCCGACTCAACACTCTAGTCCATCCGTCTTGATATTGCAGATTGAAATGAATTAAAATACTGCTAAAGAATCAATCCCATTTTTATAGTGTCCAGTTGTAAAATTGTTCTTTCCTGCATAGTGTAATCTGTTCATAAATGGAGATGTAATATTAATACTCAACAATCTAGTCCATCAATCTTGATCATTCCTGATTGAAATGAAACACTGCCAAAGAGTTCAGTCTTTACAGCCTCGATAGCGATATGAATAGACCAGGTGCAAACTACGCTACGGGATATTACTGCCTGTAGTGGATTCATTTATCTTGCATGCACAATGGTGCACTATTACGAATGCGACTTGTGTCGATATTGAGACATACTTGAGATACATACATAGGTGAAAAATGCAATGTTTTCCTAGTTAACTAGTGGAACCATCACTCATCGATAATACACTACAGTATATGAAAGTATTGAGTGTAAAAGACGCATGCTAATAAACCTTTGTAACCGCAAACTTGCACTCTTTAAAACATTTCAAAATAGAATTTATTCCATGAAAAGAGTATACCGCAATCTCTTAAAATTTGCTCCAAGCATCATTTCAGTAGTTAGTCGTTGTATCATGTATTCCTGCAAGGTTACAACAATAGTTGAACGCAGAAATGACCGCGATAATTGAATTTATAATCAATACACACAGGTAGATTCTATTATATCGTGTATTTCTAATCACTTTTAATACTGGATCGCAAATTGATTTCCTTGTACAAATGTGGGCCATTATCTCATTGGTATTACAGTGCTTATGGATGCTTCTAAAACTGAAATCTATGTCAAGAAACATTTGATACATTATATTATGTACATTAAGCAACAGAGTTATTCTTTTCTGATTACAGATTAATCTTGAATGACTAAACTACTATTTATCTAAGTTACTTACATTGAAATGAAAAGCTCATTATAAAACAAATTTAAAGATGGTTTCAACTTCGGATAATCTTATCTGAGTAGTTATTACAAATTGAAGATTACTTTCGTGATTCTAAATCTCAGTTGTTAATGGTATATTTTTGGGTAATTAAAAGTTACTTTCATAATGTACTTCACTGGAAATAATTATGATGGAAGAGTGCTTTCTATACTCGTATATATAATATAAATTGTACCCCATAGCACCCTGATTATTTTTTATATCTTTTATTATCCGTATACAACATATTCAACCAATATACAGTACACCAAATCAAGCTTTCTAGGCTTTTAAACTGTGGTCATAAAAAAAAGATTGATCAATTGGTTCCTTTTTCTCTTTATTTGAAAACTGTACGGCATAATTAGTGTTGTACGTAGCACATTCGGGTAATCTACATAGATTACGACTTTAAAATTCACCTAATTTTCCTTTTATTTGGCATGCTAATTTATCTTCACTCAAAATTTATATAGTCATATAAATGGCATGATTTAAATGGTATAGCATCTTACTTAATATTAGCTTTTCGTAATAACAATGTAATTTTATATCTTTTCATTTCTATGCCTTTATTTTTTTTTATTATACTGTACAGTAACTGAATGATTGTTTTACTGTATACCAGTGTACTGTAATATTGATAATGCAGTAAATTGTAAACAGTTGCATCTCTAGGTCTCTGATTATATATTAAGTAAGTATAATGTAAACATAGCGCATTCATATTAAAAATTTAGAACCATACGATGCCAGAGATGACATAAATTATTCCTTGATCATCACTTTTTCATTTCACATGACACTACGTACAGATGTATAAATGTAATATAGAATAGGATACTTGCCTACAATCAATTAGTAATTTTTCTATACGTGCAAGATGGCCAATATAATTCCTTTACTAATTTAATCTTCTCATATGTGCATTCTTTAATTTCTTTCATAGACTTTAATTTACTGTATAAAAGTTGTACTCCAGTTTTTCATCCATGAAGCGGCGAACTGCGGAGGTAAGTAAAGTTCGCCGTTCAGTGAAGAAGACACGCATTACCGATACAATATATGGAAGGGTTTCGAGGTGAGTAGATTGGATTTATGTTTGTAATTATACGGACGGATTGTATTGTAATTCTGAAATAGTGAATAAATAGTTGACTAACCATCAGTTTAACATGACCAATTACTATCAGCCGCTGTTATTACTGCTTGCATATGAATATTTCGTAAACGCCAACTCTTCTACCGTACAGTATATAATATTTGTAAAAGGTCTATGTACGCTGTAAATGTAGTATATCTATGCGAATGTATAAAACCGGAAGGAAAGTGTAATTGCTATAATACAAGCTAACAATAACTTTCTTGTTGTTGCATACTCGGTAAGACGATATTTTAGAGAGAAAATAAGTATGAAACTGTATTTATTGTTTACTCTATTCTATATGCTGATATTGATGTACTGTACTATACTGTAGTAAGACTTCTATTAGAATACTATTGAAGTACAGCTATGATAAGTATAACTGAATTACTAGAAATGCAATCAGTTAGGAATTATAGTATGGAGTATACGACCATTTTTCGTCTTTCTTGCTTCTTAAATATCATACATAGCTTTGTAATAGAGTGAGATTTTTGCTACCACGTAATGTTTATTTAAACGTAGACGTATAAGTCGATAGTTAATTGATTAGCCAATATCGGTTGCATTCTATTATGGTTCTTTAGTAATAGAATGAGTGAGTTATTAGATTTCTTATAGTGCGTATGGATCGAATAAGTTAACAACGAGTATCGGCTGGTAAAAATATATGTTAGGGGGTAATATAGAAGTCTATAACTCTAGTAATGAAACAGTGACATTTTTAAAATATAAAAATCACCATAATTCAGTCTCAAAATTTGATATGTCTTAAATTGTTAATAGCCAAATGTACATTATTAATTAGTCTTTATTCATTGAATAATATAACACAAAAGCTGGTGTTACTAGTTAAATATAAATGTTAATAAAAATAGGAAGGAAAAGCTATTTTTCGCAACAAATTACAATTTGTTGTCAACTTTAATTTACACTAGCAATTAGTAGTGTTGGTAATATCGCATTTACTTTCTGCAGTATCGTATTTAAATTGTTTAGTTCAGCTAAAATTCTACCATTGTAGTATTACGTTTACATTACACTATCTGCAGGTAAAGATATCACAAACGTACAAAATTTTAATTTATAACCACTAATATCGTATGATTATTTCTTAATTGACTAAAATCTATTCAAAATTGCAATCTTTTCTTTCACTTTTGACATTTTTGACTTTGAAATTTATTCATAGGTTAACTTTAATTGGCCGTTTTCTTGTCACTTGGGTTTCAGTGCTAGCACTGGATACTTTAATAAATTTTCGTTTTGAGTTTCTTTGGCCCGTATGGCTATTAATGAAAGATACTTACGAAATTTTAAAGTATCAAGGATTGGTAAGTTAATCTCTTTTGTAGAAAGTATCTAATAGCAGATACAGTGGAAATAAGCTGTCAAACTGATTATGATTGTAAGCTTAATCCTTCATTACTACTGTAGTTTAATTCTTGATCGATACCACATACAAATATAAAATAATGGCCATTTCAAAAACCGTCAATAACAAAAATTTTTACTTTCAATGTATATACTGCACATAAAGATCTTGAAATTCTCAGTACTTCGACTTAGTGGTAACAGTTAAAGAAGCCGCTTAAGTTACGATATTAAACGATAATGACTAAATAAAAGTACTGATGGATGATCTAGCATTTTAATAGCCATTAAATACGCTTTTATTTACTATCAATATTTTATACATTGTATCGATTACGAAGTTTGAAGCGGTACTGATTATGTAGTACATTGATGATTAACACCAAACAGTTTTAAATTGACGGTTTTTCACTTGATGCACGGGCAAAACCAATGCTAAAGGCTACGATACTATCATAGTCAGTCTAACAACAATAATAATAATAGGCTCTCTTAGCCTCTCTATTGCACAAGTAACACTATGCTATCTGGTAGAATATGAGAATTGAGATAACCAACGCTCGAGAAAATAATTTAATATTAATAGTGTAGTATATCGATGGCCACTACCTCAAGATACTGATATCGGATGGGATATTGATGGAGATTGCAATCATAGCTTTCGCTCTACTAAACCGTACGAATTACTATAGCGAGAGTTCTGAAGAATAATGGAGCTTCTACTATATTATAATCACAATTATTTCTAGTTGTTGTATTGTATATCGTAGTTGTATTAGGCATTTTATTAATAATTTCAACTAATCAGTAGTCACCGATCAAAAATGTACAGATTATATCTTAAAATCTTTTGTGTTTTGCATACCGTTCTAGGAGGCTACAATATTACTGACTGGACTGACTGTAATAGCGGATTTCCTATTACTAATCATGTTTCCTACGCGGTGGCTCTTATTCACTGCTAGCACGTATAATTGTATGCAGATAGCGTGTCATTCTGGTATGATAGTTTTAACATTCCAACATAATCGGATTGATTCTTAATATTTTTATTTCTTAAAAGACGTAACACAATTTAAATTTTATTATTATACTTATCAATTAACTGAACTTTACCTTTTAGAACGGTTGAATTTAGCGACCTTATTTATTTGGATGGTATTTGTATATAATGAAGCAACGGTGAGAGCTATCCATTTACCAATTTATTTAGAATTATGTCTCCCATTAGCTGCACATAGGTAAGGATATGGTGAACTAAGTAATTATAATTTATTTATGTTCCTATCACATCGAGTAACATCAAAAATTAAGAAATATAAATATTTTTATATGTTAGCATTGGGCATTCGTTGGTGACGATAGGGCGTGGAATAATAAATTATTTAAAATATCAAATGATAAGAGTAAGTGGATGAGATTTGCTATCTACACTATGCTATAATTACGGTTAGATAGAAAAGTTGAGTACGAGGTCGCGTTTTTTCTATAGCGATATTATTTATTTCCTGTTACAATATTGCTTTTATATATGTAGAATAAACAGTTGCAAATTCACAGAGATAAAGCTATCATATCATCTATCAATCAATTAATACCTACGACTTCAAACGAGCATACAAAAGAAGCTCTTAATCGGATTGCGGGAACAGCAGCTAGCGATCCATCATTAAGTGGTATGCTGTTAGTCTACTGTTTTGATAACTATGGCAATAACCTTACTGTCATGCTAACTTAAAATTTTTAATAATACAGCCGCAGTGGCCGAAAAATTGCAAGATTGGGCGCTAAGATTTTCGAATATGATAAAACATAAGACGACGACTGTACAAAGTATACATAAATCAAAAGTCAAATCTAATCCAGATAATAACGTGATTAATGCTAGAAGAAATGAAGACTTGACTGATAAAATTAACAAAACTGTAGATAAAAAAAGTGTCTCCGACAGTGATAGTAATGTCATAATAAAGACAATTAATCATACAAATCGTAGTTCCAGTGCTAAGAATTTTGCAGGAAAAGTCATGGAGACTTCTCCGGCTATTGTATCATCAAAGAATTTATCGAAAGATGAGGTAGACGACGATTACGTATTGCCTACAAATCCGAGATGTGATCAAAGTTCTGCAGCCTTATCAGAAAAGAATAATAAAACTGAGATAAATTATGAGAGTAGAGAGTGTAAACCTGAGCAAATCGAACTAGATTCTTTAGTAATTCAGTATCAAGAGGAGAAAGCTGCCAGGTATGATTAATGTAAACATGGTCCATAAAGTAATTATCCATGTCATTATTTTATCATTTTTATTTGTATTATACTTGCAGGCTAAAGGCCTCGTCCATCATAACTAATCTTGAAATTGAAATAAAAAAAGTCAAAGATGACCTAAAGGTATTATACGTGCAAAACCGATATTATATGCCTTAAATTAGAATTTAAAATTGTGTTATTTCGATCTTGCTTTCATCATTCCTAGTAGTTGTAGTAGATGTATGTTACGAATCATTGGCGTAATTATGTTAGAGCGAAATACTATTTACTATCAATCAGTATGGTTGTATTGTTGATTATTTCTGCTTCGATGTCAACCTATTTAGCAAAAAGACTATGTCGAACAAGAGCTTCGTCAGCAACTAAAATTAGTAGAAGAGTCCAGGCGTACAGAGGCTGTTAAAGAAGATTTGAAGAACTCAAGTGGCAATCGGTACAACAGAAATGAAATTCTTACCATCAATTTCGATTTTTTTTGCCTACAGTATAAATCATTCTAATAAACGTATACCACATTATGTTATAATGCGTTGATACAGTGTGCAACTATCTCTTTCTACAGTATATATGCGCGTACAAGTAATTACGGCGAACAACATTTTTTAATTGATTACAATGGCTTTAGAAATTGGAGCATGCTATAATTAATTTATTGCTCTACTTGAAATTTTGAATAGAAATAGGAGTTTATCAAGCGCCAACAAAGATAGTCACTCTAAAAAGAATGATAAAAAGTCTAAAGTTGAAAGTAGTTGGCAAAAGAAAATGGAGCCAAATTTAGCAATTAATATATCTCATGATAGTTGCCGCTTGACTCAAGCTACGTTGGAAAAGGAGAAGGGTATGCTATTGACGCAACTTCATGAGCGACAAGATCAGCTTAGAAATGCCCGACAGGAATTTGAAGTCTATAGGCATCAAAATCAGACGGAAATATCAAGAATGAAAAAAGAAATAGAATCGTTAAAATGTAACATTTCATCACAGCAAGAAAAGAATATTAAATTAGAAAATGATTTAAAATCTGAAACTCGAATAAAAATGGATATGTTTGAGCATATGGGAATCGCAAAGCATGAAAAAGAACTCATTGAAGCCCAATTGCAGAAGCGTGACAGAGAAATTACGGCACTGAGAGCAGAGATGGTTGAATTAATGGCAGTAGGTAGTATACTGCAACCATCCAATGGTGTCACCAATTTTGGATCGACCGAAATTTCGCCGATAGTTACAGCGAGTCCGCATTTTATTGGCCATCATCGTCCTATGATGGTTGATTCATTGCAATCGAATACTCACGATTCAAATCGATATCCGTCTGGTGTTACAGGCCATATTGAAAAAGATCGCAAGTAGTGACTTTGTTAATTTATATTTGAATTAGCAGTCGATAAGTTATCCTGTTTTATTAATACTCGAAGTTTATGTGATAATGACTCCTAAAAGGTTTATTGAGATTGCTATTATGTGTACGTATGTCCTTATGTACAAATGTGAGCTAAATTGAACGATTTTAATTCAATCAATACCATGAGGATTAAGAATATAACAAGATTATGTATTCTTACCATTGTCTACTAATAAAAATATGCGACTATCGATGTATTATTGTATTTATTTATTATTTGTTTGTAGGATATGTTGCTTGGCAATACATGTTTGCTGTTCAGTTATGGTTTACTGAATTAGTGATATGCCACTGTGATGTGTAGGGTATTTGTACAGTATGTGCAGCAGTGTTGTACAGTCAATGCTGCAGTAAGTTCTCGAACATGCACTGTTGTACAATGTCCAGGACCGTGTACTTGCAGTAGTCATTAATAATTTCATTCAATCGTTTGTGTCTAGTCGAATCAGTAACCTGTGAAAAGTGCATTTATTCAAGAGGTCCCAGCTTGAAATCATGCATTTCAAGTTTTCAACTGTAGAAATCGTGATCCCTTCCCCTTTCCAGATCCTCGATCAAAGGGATAGAAAGAGTTTATGGATTAATCTTTGCGAAGTACTGGCTTGACAGTGTTGTATTGGAGTTGGATGATATAGCGTACCAGTTTAGTCGTATCGAGATTGGCTTGAAGGACTACAGTACTTGAAACGTTGCACTGTACTGTAGAGTCTACAGTGTACACTGTACAGTACAGTACTGTACAGTAGACCAAGGTCCAGACCACAATACAGTACAGTACCTCCAACTGTACACTGTCCAGTACTGTACAGTATGTCCAGAGTCTGGTAGTCTGGTACATGTCCTTATTGTCCTACCCATGGATTTCTACCAATCAGTAGTGTTCTGTACTGCAAGTCCGTACAGTGTACAGTACATACTGTCCATCTTTCACTCCGGCGCATGTGAAACCGTACTGTAGCCTTGTTGTCAATCAGTTCGCTTCAGTCCGTCACACACTCAGACTGATTGGTTGCACTCGAGCACGTCGGTCGGTACAGGTCATCCCATCCCCCTCACGTCATTCAGCCCACGGTTGAAGCATCCAGCGAACGAGCCAACCACTATTGGCCAAAAGACAAGTCCAAAGAGAGGAAAAAAAAATCAGTTCCATTGGCGCTTTCCTTTTGCCATTTTTTCAGTCCATTTTTCAAGACGAATTGAATTGATAGTATGCCGTTGGCTCAGTTAGGAGGTGAAGTTTTCCATCAAGGGAAATTTGTTCAGGATAATGAAGTAAGTCAGTCTGAATCATGTCCAATTTGCAATGGTAGACGTTAAGCCAGCCACTGGCTGTCTTTCAATCCACTCCATAGTGACAACTATCACCCATATTGTCAATGAGTCAAGGAGACAAACTACGGTACTCTGGGTAGCTTACCACAACCATGGCCACCAGTCGACTCCATACATAAAAATGGAGTCGACTGTCCACCAAAATACAACATGACAGCCATTCTAGTGGGACTACCATCGTTATTTTATTTTTTTTTTCCCCAACCTTGGCAATCGTCACTGACTTGAAGATCATTTAAAATCAATCGCTTGCGGTGTAGACGGTATCAATTGCAACTTCAAGGGGGCATATTGGCGGACCAAAATACCACAATGTACACTGAAATGATACAATACACAGTATTGTATCTGGTCTTCTGTGTCGCATTGATGTTGGTTGTTCAATGGCTGTGAGAAAAAATGAAGAAAAAAAAAGAAAAAAATGAAAGAAAATACTCAATTGCAAGAGTGAACGTAATGCCATTCTCGGCAATTGAACACTGTTTTCATGCCCGTCAGTGATGTACAGTCATAAAATCAACGACAACAAGGAGAAATGAGATTCAAATGGCCTGCAATTACACTCCTTTTTAGACAGTATTCTCCTATCGCGACACAGTACAATACAGGTGTAAACCAAGTATTGAAAACAATTTAATTAGTTGACAATCTACTTGTACAATCAAACCAACAACAGTATGTTGCGTTTTTTCTCTTCATTTGTTCAAAATACTATTCCAAATGGCTTTCATGCCAATGTTAGTATGTTGTAGTGCTTCGTTAGAATGGTACAGTGGTGAATTTTCGCCAGTGACATTGATACAATAGGTTGTAGGACGACGCTTGGCATAGATGACATCGCTGACGAAGCCATCATCATCATGGAGTAACTTTGACTTGAATGGAACTACTAGTAGGATATAGTATTCATTGCATGCAATGTCTTTCAGCTTTTTTTCTAGCATTTGATTGCCAACTACGGTCAATGAATGACTATATTCAAGTACTCGTAGACATTCGGTGATGAGAAGTAAGCGCGGTTCGCCACACATTTCAATCGGTTCCAATGAATAGCAACAGTTGTAGGCTGATTTTAAATCCATTGAAGCATGATTACTCCAATATTTTGAATAGAATGATAGCTTAGTCACACGCCTACAATTTAGTCATCATTTCCAGTTTTCAATTGCGCCAATGAAGTGTAAAAAAAAGTGCTACCCAAGGGTAGAAGTAGCATCGTTATGTTGATTGATATACACGATGACTACAATTTCCTGTCGATGATTCATTACAATTATTATGAATTAAATGGATTCCATTCAACAACTACCATCTAAAAATGCCATCGTCATTTCTATGACTTGTTGCACATATCATGTTAGAATAATAACTGCTGCAATTATCTACTGTATTCTTCTAGTTAGTTGACAAAAGATCATATAGTGGCTTAGTTGTTCAGATAGTATGCTTATAATTAAAATCGATATCTGCAAATCATCCTTGTAAACAGATCAATCGATTGGACATTGCTACTGTTGTCAAATCGAAACTTTACCTGTATACGCGTATGTCAATGAGATCGCTTTAAAGCTAAAACTACGTAGTAGGCATGAATACTCTACTCTACATCTTCGGATTATCTTCTATCAGTCTTGAAGTCAGTCACTCGAAGAAACCTCTTTCTCTTGAAGTTGATGGATAATGTTATGAATTGTATCCTTTTACTTGTTGTTATCAAGTAGTTACGGAATGCATTTATCAGCTTTATTTACTACTTGCAAGAGTTGTCAGAAACTACTAAAGTTTCGGATTTCCACTACCTAATATTGATCTACTGCTGATCAATATTATGAAAGGCAGATGGTGTAATGTACTAAAACTACCACTGTGACTTTGGAATAACATGTCGACGCCTGTTGAAGCGTTAACTTTCTATAGAAACCATCAAAATTGGAATGATGCACAATGAGATAGAAAATATCAGAGTACTTGCACAAGTTAATCGCCATGCGTACCAATCGTTTCATACAATAAAATTTAATTTCATCTTTATTATGCAAAACTGTTTTAATATATCCTTTAGTAGCTACTGAATATAGTAAATGGATGAGAAAACATGACTATAGGACCGTTTTATCGACGATATAAAAATTAATAAGTATATGTATATATATATCCATATATTACAGGCTGCATCGGATGAATTGCCACCGGAGCAAGGAGATAACTCGGTAAGTTGTTGGTCTGTCGTTTTCAATTTTATACACTTTGTTCATGCATCAATCTAACTGATTTATTCTATTTTGTTTAAAGATCATCGTTTATGCTGTCGTTTGATTAGTCAACTATACGATTAAATCTCTCTAATTTGTTGTCAAACTCCTGTGATGCTATGATTTTTAGGAAAATCAGGAAAATGTATCCGAAATAGAATTGACTTCAACGGAAGCTGCAGGCTACGAGAGAGCTGATGCTTCACAGTTTGAATTACTAAAAGTTCTTGGTCAAGGATCTTTTGGCAAGGTTATTTTGTCATTTAACTGTATTGCTATGATTAAAAATCGTAATAGAATCCATAATGGAATAATTCAAAGCACACTGTCGTTAAATTATTTGTAGGTATTGGGATAACTCACTTAAAGTAAATGTAATCTCTTCTTACTATTATATAATGCTATTAACTTAAAAGTCATTTACAGTTTTCGATGGAATCTGTTAAAAATTGGCTTAGTTAACTTTGCAAAGATGCGAATTTTTTCCTGATATTATGCAATATTGTTCATATGAATTCCTTATTTTAAAAAAGGTTACAGCTATCGTTTGCTGTACTTTTACAAATGATGCTTATAATAATGTAGTTAATATTAAATGCTATAGGTTTTTCTTGTAAGAAAGAGATCTGGGGCAGACGTTGGTACACTCTATGCAATGAAAGTCTTAAAGAAGGCGTCATTGAAAGGTAAAACAGCCGAGTTTTTTTTAAATTCTGTTTTAGAGTTAACATAGTGCAGATTACATTATATGTTGTACTTGATAGTGCATAACTAGAGCACCTTGAAGTCTTTTTTAAGAATTTTAAATTATGGCTTTGTGATACATTGTTTTTGATGTAAGGCGCCGCAGTAATTTATTAACTTTGATAAAATAAGTTTGTTGCATTATGAATAAAATAAGAATGCGTTTTAGTATTAGTAGGATGCTTGATGTAATTCTAATTGGCGTACTCATACTTCGTGCAGAGTTTATTTAGTCATCTTTCTGCTTTGATTACTTTTAAGCTGTAGTTGATTTGACATACTAATGTTAAACGGGTGACAATGGATACTCTTAATTTGATAGTTTTAAATTAGTATGTGATCGTTAAACTTCTCTATAATTGCTGATAATACTGTATTCTATGATGTAATACTCATATTTTCCATGGTATCTTGTTGTTGCATTTGCGAAGAAAAACAGTAAATCTATGTTCGAAATTCTTTTATCCTCATTTTATTCATAGCTATGAATTAGTACCATCTTATATCATAAGTTGACCCTTCTATTGTAATTCCTTTCGAAGTGTCCATTAAGGCTAGTCGTTATTGCAGCCTTTAACAGAATTTTTTTAACTCCTCAATACTGGACAGTATTAGCTGCAATGATAGCTATTTTGAGTTGGCACTATCCTAGTTTGTCTTCGAAGTAATATAATTGCGCAAGCTTTGTAACAGAAAAAATATGATATGAAATATTGGAAGCTGTGATCAATTAACAATAATTAATTAATAGTGTAAATTAAAAGGTTAACAGAGGCAGCTTAATCTTTAGATAGCCAAAACCTAATTGTACTTGCGCATATGATCGCAGCTGGTGAGCTTTTTACGATATAAAGTCTAATTCTTGCTATGATAAAATTGCAGGATATGTGCAATAGATAAATATATTCTAGTATGTGCGGTTAGTATACTGGCAACTGATAAAGCGATCAAGTTTTGATGTAGTAATAGTTTTTGTATTTAGAAAATGTATGCATATATATTGTAAGCTGTTTGCTGACATACTGAGTATTTATAGACAAAATCAATTTATGAGAAAGAGATATAGCGAGCTATTTTATCTGAGGGTTACTTTAGTAGTCCCTGATTCTTGATATAGAAACTTTTATTTCCATAAATTTGTTGTAAATACTTTTAACACATTTTAAGTTACTGAATGGTAATTAAAAAATGTAACTGCGTACGCTATGGATAGGCTGTGCTTAACTTATTTGATGTTGCCGTAGACATAATTGATGAATCTAATCAATAATGTAACGCAGCAGACGTGCAGCTAATCTATAATTTATTATTGTGATTAATATTATGTCTCATTGCTTATTATTCTAATGAACATCTTTGAATACACACTCTTAGTACGCGATAGGGTCAGAACTAAAATGGAACGAAATATATTAGCAGACATTCAATTTCCGTTTATAGTTAGATTATACTATGGTAAGAGCTTTGGGCATTGTAGCATAATTTCGACTGGTACTATTTAAGTTCACACTCGGTGTGGAAGCGTAAATATTACAATAAGTGTCCTAATAAAAGTATTTAAAACTTCCTTAATTTGCAATAAAAATTGTTACCGAAACCAATGTCTGATATATAACGGAAATATACTTAATGAAATCAACATTTTTAATAATTAGCTTTTCAAACGGAAGGAAAGTTATATCTTATCTTGGAATTTTTACGTGGTGGTGATCTATTTACAAGATTATCTAAGGAGGTTAGACTTGTCACATTATATAATGTTATATAGCGTTCAATGCAATGCATTTGTATCCTGTTGAACACATAAACACCTTGTACAGATTTATGCTATAACGAAATGTAGTTTATTGCCTACTGATTTATAATAGCTGCATGATTATACATACGTGTGTTTAGGTATTTGATTTTAACATTTGATAAAAAGATGCCAAAATCGCTAATCTGTGCGCAGCATTTCTAAATTAATGAGTACGATGGTTGTTAAAAGTCTTATCTACAGTATGAAATTGATATAATGTCATCTTCCGTGAAGGCTTTGCTATACCTTTGAAGTATTTATGATCTCCTTATATTGTACAAATCTCTTAAAGTACTGTTTTATAGCTAATAATTTTATGCTTTGGATTGATGTGAAATTTAGGTCATGTTTACTGAGGAAGATGTCAAGTTCTACTTGGCTCAGCTTGCTTTAGCATTAGGTCACATACACAAATTGGGAATTATTTATAGAGATTTGAAACCTGAAAAGTTAGTATTTTACTTACTGTTAATTTAATGAAATTTTAAATTTACCGCTATTTCTATATGTATTATTTTGACCGTATACTTTACTTATCGAAATGTACATCGTAGATATTAGCCTAAATTTAATGAGGAAATTGCGATCAAAAAATAGTTAGACGTTACTGTAACTGACGACATAATAGCAAATCTCTCAGCCAGTTCTAAAGTCTTGTTAACTATGGCATATTAAGAAATTTAGCGCTTAATTATTTCCTATCCTTAAATATTAGCGTTTTACTTGCTGCGGATGGTTTTATAAGCTTGACGGGTAAGTTTCCTTTGATTACTTTGCCTTAAATCTGTAACTTGAAGGCTGCTGAGCTAACTGGCCCTGGCCCCTTCATATTTTAACAATATCATAGAATTTCATTCCGGTATATTTCAATGCTATTAAAGCTATGCAGTTAAAGTACAGTAGTTAGTCAAGGCGATAACTTAGTATTTCTATTCTATTTCTATACGTACGTATTGATCCCTTGGTATTATTTAGACTTCGGATTAAGTAAAGAATCAGTCGAAGATAAGAAAACGTTCTCATTTTGTGGTACTGTGGAATACATGGCACCTGAGGTAGTTTTAAAAAGGGTTACCGACAACGTTATATCTTTGAGCTAACATTTTTGACCGCATAATTCTCACTTTCCATCACGATTAGGTCATTAGTCGTCGTGGGCATACTATTACCGCCGATTGGTGGTCATTCGGTGTTTTAATGGTATAACATTTCTTCTAACTTTCTATTTATTCTCACGATGAATTTATTTCGCAATTAATGATTAAATTTAATTTAGTTTGAAATGTTAACTGGCACATTGCCATTTCAAGGAGAAAATAGAAAAGAAACAATGACCATGATATTAAAGTAAGTGATACATTATGGCATCGATTTTTGTTAAAAATTAGCTGTTTGAGGAGTTTACAATTTAATGCATATGTAGCTGTTTTGTATGTTGATTTTTTACTGTTAATTACATAGGAGTAAACTGGGTATGCCTCAATTTATCAGTTTGGGTGCTCAGAGTCTTCTCAGAGCATTGTTCAAGAGAAATCCGACTAATCGATTAGGTTTTAAAAGAACTTATGCAAAGTTAAAATATGAATGCTTTTTTGTTTTGCGATACGCCCGTTTTTGATGGTACTTACGTACACAACTTTAGGTTCTGGTCCGAATGGGTTAGAAGATATTAAAAATCATCCGTTCTTTGCTTCCATTGATTGGAATAAATTACTACGAAAAGAGATAAAGCCTCCATTTAAACCTGCGGTGAATTGTAATGATACGTATTATTTTGATACTGAATTCACAAATCGAACACCAAAAGGTAAAGTTGGAAAGAAATTTTATTTGTCGTTCATAACCTTATTGTACGATTAACCGACGTAGTAGCCAACAGACTGTTTGAAATGGTCTCGTAATTCATAATCCAAAAGATTTTAGTTGTTTCAGAAACACTATAAAACTTGTAATTGATGACAATATGTTATATGTAGATTTCAAGACATTGATTATAATAAATATTTACGGAATTTTTACATGAACTTGTTATTATTAATGAGTAGATTCACCAGGAGTTCCTGCTAGTGCCAATGCGCATCAATTATTTCGTGGTTTCAGTTACATTGCGCCAATTTTAGAGGAAGTATGTTAAATAATTATAGTCTGTTTCATTCGGAAATATGTTCCGTGCCTATTTATGGTGCATTATAGCTCTAATCTTAACTAAATGTATAGACCTACGGGGAAGTGAACCAAGATCAAGATAATAACTTCGAGAGATTTATGGTGAGAATTTTATTTTTTTAACCATATTTGTGTCCTATCTAAATATTTAAATTTTTCTAGTTGGAAAATTACGAGCAGAAAGCGAACTTTAGGGATGAATACGAATTAAAAGAGGTTAATTGGATATATTGTCGTATTTACTTTTATAGTGATATTTACATGGTAGCAGTATATATTATCTATCTTTGAAACATAATAACGTATATTGCTGATTGCGATAGGAAATTGGAAAAGGCTCGTTTTCTTTGTGCCGCCGTTGCATCCACAAAGTCACAGGAAAAGAATGTGCAGTAAAAGTAAGGAAATACCAGTACAGTGTTTATTGTTAATTATTGATGTAATATGGGCGCACTATTATGATATCACTATGTAATCTTAAAACTGGTGGTATTATATTAATACATAGATTATGGATAGGAATAATCGTAATCCTTCGGAAGAAATTGAGGTAAAGATAGTAGCAGTTTTTTAAACAGTAATGAAATATGCTTTTTGAGAGTCTATAATAATAAATGGCATTACTATGCAGATTCTGATGAGATATGGTCGTCATCCTAATATCCTTACCTTTCAAGATGTAAGTAATTGCAGTCTGGAAAAATTTCCAGGAATTGGATACCGAAATTCGCCTGTCGAATTTACGCGTATTATAAACTATCAATTTCATACAGACTATAATCTATAATGAATTAGGCTGCAATATTTGAGCTTTACGGTAAAAGTACCTGATATATAGTAACTAAATTTGAAATTAATTATAGGAATGTTAATATTCCGTACGTACTTATACATGTAGTCGTACTTAGATCATCTAGGATAATCAAAACAAATTTCATTAGTTTGCTACCCAGAGCATTTTAGTCAATGATGGTATTCAATGTATTGTCGATTTGATTATTTGAAATACAGGTATATGACGATGGTAAACATATATACATGGTTACTGAATTGCTGAAAGGTGGAGAACTTTTAGATAGAATAATGAAAAAGAAGCATTTAACAGAAGAAGAAGTTCGACAAATTATGAAAGTTTTAATATCAACTATGCATTGCCTACATGATCAAGGAGTATGTAGATATTGTAACGAATTAATATTTTAGTTAACACTGTATAGCTTACGTCATCTTATCATGGTTAATTACAGGTCGTTCATCGAGATTTGAAGCCTAGCAATATTTTATATGCTGATCATACGGATTCTCCGGAAGCGTTGAGAATTATTGATTTTGGATTTGCAAAACAACTGCGTGATAGTAATGGTTTGTTAATGACTCCGTGTTATACAGCAAATTATGTAGCTCCGGAAGTCTTGAAAAAGCAAGGGTATGATGCTGCTTGCGATGTTTGGGCTCTTGGAATATTGATGTACATAATGCTATCTGGGTAATGATGATATAGTTGGTAGCTTTCATGAGTTATCTGCTAATATGATGATATTACAGTATAATTTATAATTATATCATACTCTCAATAGAACAACTCCTTTTGCGTACGATCCGAAAGATACAGCAAATGAAATACTTAAAAGGATAGGTGATGGACGTTATAAATTAACAGGTGGTAATTGGAATCACGTGTCCTATGATGCGAAGGTATTAAAATATCATGTATTCATCTTCAAGACTAATTGCTAATTAATAACCACGTAAACAAACTTCTTTTTACGGCGAATAGGATTTAATTAGGAGATTATTACATGTTGACCCGAAGCAAAGAATAACAGCTGGACAGGTTTATAAAACATGATAATGATAATTTGCTATTTTTAGCAAATTAAAATTAGATTGTTTTTTTATCGTAACCCCTTATAATATATTCTAAAATATTTTCATATCGTGATTACGCGAATGGATGGATGTTGTGCAGGCAATACAACATTCTTGGATCGGTGAAAAGAAAACTTCCAGTACAAAATTAAGCATATTTACTGATATGCGTAACTTGAAGGTATGTCATTTTTACTAACTTTAGAGTTTAATTGAAACATTAGCGTTCTCGAGAAGCATAAGACAGTGCTTTTGATTACGAGCAAATATTTTACGCTTTCAATTGCCCAAGAAATTCCATGTAGTAAAGACATTTTCATTGATATCATAGGATACAGTTAAGGCTACATTTACTGCTTACAACCGAACTACACAACAAACAGTACTAGAGCCGGTACTAACTTCCCTATTGGCAAAGCGTCGACGTGATAAAGCGACGAAAGTATAACATGTTATATCAAAATATCTACGGAGGTTTTATTTATTTCGTTGAGTGTAATTGTTATATATGTTTTCGAGATATAAATTCTCAGACAATGGATGATGATGGAATTTTGAATAGGAAATTGAAGTGTTATTTTAAAATTAATTTTATTTGTAATAGCAAAACAAGCGTAACGTAGTTTTAAATGACTTTTTATTAACGCAAATTATAACAGAACTAACATAACACACAAGTGGTCATGCTTGCCGATATAATTTAATATCGAACTTTTTTTTACAGTTTTGATCTGCTATAATTACTGTTTAAGACATGCGTTCAGCAATAGTAAAATTTTTTGATGTCGTTATTTATCTGCTAATATTCGGACTCCTTGTAAATGCTTTTGCTCGTTTGGCATACTGCATTGATTAAGTTAGATAATAACACATTATGAAATTATAATTTCTGTTGTAGATTGCAATTGTAGTACGAGATCGCACTTTGCAAGTAATTTTCTGATAGTGAACAAATTTGTCCTTACTATCTGTTGATAAATAATAAGTACATAGTTAATGGATATCTAAATGCTATATAGAGTCCACTGATGGGACGCTCTTGACATTATTGTGAACTGCTGAATTATTTTTTAATCTTTACATTTGCGACCTAGGTAGCATTTATGATTAACGTTATATTGCTAAGCGTCAATCACAGTATTTAGTTTTGGAAAAAGCGCATAATTAATTAACTATGCAAGACTTGAGATCTTGCATAATAGTTACGGCCAATTCGGTGATCGGTGTTTGCTAAAGACTTTATTACAAAAAGGATTGTCATCGCTATTCCGGTCATAAGTGTTAATAATTGCTTTCAATTGAGAAGCAATTGTGCATCTACAGGTGATAGAGATTGTTAGTTTTTTAACATATGAAAAGGAAGCAATTATGTTTTAAAAAACCTTGGTTTTTGCATAGCTAAGTCTATGCACGTACAGGTAAACGAATATATAAACATGGGTGTATGTTAATTAAAAGTAACGACCAAAAATGCGAAAAATAAAAAATACCTGTAAGTTTAATACTTGGTTGTTATCGAATTTGCGCTTAACTGTAATATGAGTATAAAACACTGAAAAAATTGGATCGTTGACTGTGCTATTCAATACTAAGGGCAATGGTGAATACATAATACGCAGGAAAGTGTCATGAATTTCAGTACAGAAAGAAATATAACTTTCTGGTGTATTATTACAGTTACGAAGATATAATAAGCCAGTTTCTACAATTGATAATTATAATGATTACGAGAATAAAATGAGCCAGTTTAGAATGATCCATCACCTCTTCAATCGCAATGTTATTTCTGTTTAAACCTTCCAAATTTCATAAAAGATCCAACTAGTAAGAAATATGAAGTTGAGGAAAAACAGAAAGTAAAAAATGCTATCCTTCTAATGACTGCAGAATTATGAACGATAACCATTGTGTATGAACTGAATTCCTATAATACTATTGATCACTTATATGATACTTATTAAAGCATCAACCTTAAATTACTAGATATCTACTGCAGCAATAAAAAAATGATAACGCTTTTTATTTATTTTTGGATACAATTCAAGGTAAGAAGGAACGCAAACGGTTTCTTTTCTGAAATCGACTTTTCTACTTAATTTTTGCAGCTGTTCTTCGTAAAGTTTAAGAGCATGGACATTATTTGCACCATTTCCCTAAAAATTAAATACGAGTTAACAATAAAAGCTGGTTGAAGTCGTACTGATACGATGATGTATACATCTATATACGGTACCTGAGTAAAATAGCGTCCAGTTTCCGAGAGGACATCCATTGATAATTGTAGTATTAGACGTAGAAAATCCCATTGAGATCCTAACTCATGATATACATATCTAGGTTAGTACAGCTACCTGCTCAACATGGAGACAACAGCGATATTTAGAAATTGAAAAATAAAACCTTGAGGAGTAGTTGAAACAGGGATAGCAGTCAGATCATTGATGACATAATCAAACACCTTTCCTTCACTTGCATACTTTTTCAGTATCGGAACACAATCTTCAACAATAACCTATCAAGAAAGTCGCCATCCTTAAGGAAAAAGCTACGAAAGTGGCTAATGCGCACATTTTCATGTTTAACTGAATCTGTAAAGTTTCATAATACTGATTGATAGGTGTGAATATCTAATTTTTATTCTATTGTGATACCTACCTTGTAATTTGGCCCTTCCAGTGAATCCATAGCATTTTCACATATACCACGTAAATGTTTAATAGCAGCATCAATAACTACCTGATCAATTTAAGAAACGTTAAGGGGCGTAATTTCCGAGGCATTTGTGTTCTATTTAACTGCGACGTACGCGAGCTAACGTTATTTCTTACGATAAGCTGTATTTTAAATACTCTTTAAAAGTAAAAAAAAATAATGAAAGATATTTCCACCATCGTCACATATTTTGGCGATTGTTTCAGCAACTCATTGAGAATACCTCCATCGCCTCCACCTAAGTACAGTAATAAGTATACATATTAACAGCAAGAAAAATATCTTGGCAATGGCAATTAATCAATTAATTAATTAGTTGAACAAGTCTGTTTACCAAGAATGAGGACAGTTTTATCAGTATAATCTTGGGTATCATTTCCAGTTATAGCCTTAGTATAGGCAATGTCGCTCTCTGCTAAATCTGAAAATATAGTATATACAGCACAATTGAAAACATGAACTTTAAGAGCCATTATCAATTTGGAGCTACAGGATGAATTTGACATTGAAGATCAATTTCGATATGAGTATATAGCTACAGTGAACCTACTTGGGTCGTCGTCCAGTAGAAGCATATTTCCATATTGTGGTGAATGACAAATTTTAACATTTTGGAATTGGGTATCTACATTTACCACTACTCTATAATTGTATGAAGATACAAAGTATATAATAACGTGGTAGTGAAACATAATTATAGCAGAATTAGTATTACACACGAGGTCTATAAACTCCCTAGGTAATTACAAAATTTAATCCTATACCGTATTGCCGTATAAATACGCGTAATTACTTCAAAACTAGTTCGTATGGTGACTGATGCATTTTTTCTGTTTTTATACGCAAGTAACTACAATTTATAAGAATAAACGAACTTGTCAAAGTCATATTCGACGAGTCTATTATCACAAGTAGGAACATAAATATCCAAATCTCGGCATCGTTGAATTGCAGGGTAGCTATTTTAATCAATAAAAATAAATAATATTAACCCTAATCCTATTGTTGAGTCAACAAGAACTTATGCGTAAGTAATCTACCTTTTACTGTTTCCTTGAAACAAAGATTTGATTTCACGTTCATCCTAGCATGGTAATAACATAGATATAATATAGTTACATTGGACAATCGCTCCACAATTACGTAATTCATAATAATTTTAACCATGTATAGCGCAATGTAATCACTAATTAGTTCTAGGACAAGTATTGTTTACGCATATGTAGTTTTGTTTATAGTACTACTGTATATCAATGGAGATAGGACAGGTGTAATCTGAGGTATATAAATCTCTACTGTAAGCTGATTTGTTACTAGCCACTGGAATTCTTCTAGTCCTTTCGAGATGGACTATATCATATGGATCGCTTGTATTAACACTGGTCAAATGTATACAAATTCTATCATTTTAGGATATCAATTGAAGAGTATATTCTTCGTACTATGTAAGCAAATGACTGACTATTGTACACCTATTAGAGAGCTTCTATATAGCTATAACACTACCACAACTAAGATGCATCATACCGCATACAGGTACTGTAAATGCGAACTATTTGATAAGTTCACTAATGGATACATCTATTTTCGATATTACTGTAACGATTTACTCACAGTAACATTCTTCCCGTTTAATTTTATTACTATTTATCACTGCTTTTATTACAAATTATTTTAGCATCAGAAATGGATTTAAAAAAAGAGTAGCGCTTCCATTGTAATATCATTACAATCTTACGTCTTCGCTAAAAGTGATTGTTTTCCCGTCAGGTAGCGGTTTAGTTATATCCACAGTAATTCGGTTGATATCCTGGTAGAGTCGAATGACCGCATGGCTATCAAGGAATAAGAGTAAGTATAAAGTAAGAAGACGGATTTGGTGATGCAATGTTTGTTTAGACAGAGCAAATTGTAAGTTTGTACACAATAATAAGATCGATAAAATTCGATTGCATTTTTGACGTATTAGCAGTCAATCTTAAGCGAGCATATCTTAGTAATAGGACGTAGGCGAGGATAGCTAAAAACATGCACGTACACATGCTCATGTAACGACTATTTTATAAAACGTGTTAGTATTTTGCATCGACTATCATTATTGTCGACAGTAGGAAGAGGTCATGAAGCTAAGATTAGCTTCTATGACCGCAAGTAATTTTATCGTCTCGTCATGACGATGTTTTTACGGTAATACGAATCCTTTAGTGTGTCGGTTGGAGTATCGTACAATGATATTTCCGTCGATTGTTAGCAATAATCATCATCTTTTCTCCTAGACGTGTCTTGACTGTTATATTGATCTCCAAATATAAAGAAGAAGTAGTAGAATAGTTGGTTTACTGTACTGTATCTAGCCAGTACGTAGTTGTTATCATCCCATGCACTACTTTGTAGCTATACTACTGTACTTCTAATTTGAATTATTATTATTTGGTCGATGATATCCAAAATACGCTATTTGAATAATTATAATCGATAACGATTGAGAAAAGTTTTGACTAGAGTGATATATTATCCAGTAGTATGGCCAGGCCAGTTCATGATTTTGATAGATTGCATCAGTTGAGTCTAGCTTGCACGTGAAGGTGTCAAGTTGTGAATAATGATATTCATTGCATCCATTCAACACAATAAACTACTTTGAACATATTGCATCAGCAGTAGGTCTAACGTGCTTTTCATGTACAAGTGTTGACAACTCCCAAATCGCGAACTACCGTACTGTGCAATATTGCATATACACGAGAATACAAGGTGATGGGACGAAATAAATTTCGAACATTTCGAGCCCATGTTGAGGCTATTTCCATCCTGGATGGAATGACCACTTGTTGCATGCAATCAGCTTATTGGTGTGCAATGTGTTGTACACAGGAGTGAATCAACTAGTTTATCCAGTGGACATTGCTACTTTTACTCGTATCCCTACAATATTGACATCACTTTCCTATTAAGCGATTGTACTACTATTCCTGTTGACTTATTTTATTATCATATTGCTCTTGTCATTTTGTCTAGCGCTCATTTGAATAGCTGTTGGCGTTTAGTATATATGTTGCAGTTTTAACCATAACATGTATACGTCCGTCAGCAGATTTATAACTACAATACAGTATAGGGATCAATTTGGAAGGGCAATCATAGAATTAGACGAGCGCACCGGCGGTAGTTTATGTCCAAGCCATTTCTTCAACTGCCATAACGTTGTTTTAGCTATGATCGTTGTGATAAAACAAATTATCATCGATTCATGCCTTATTCCTAGTTTAGCTCACCTACGATCAGGACCAGTCCACACCAAGAGTTGACCATGGGGTAATGGCGATGAACATACTAAATTGAAATCTTTCTGCTTCATAAACTGACTAGCATCAGCAATGAATGCTTCGGGTGTTAATGAAGTTTGAATGGATCGAAAATCAAACATATAATGCAAGACTTTGTCGTCGGCCATGCTGCTGTCTGACAGATGGAAAGTTGCCTAGTGCGGTTCTACCACTTGATGGTTTTGCTAGACTGGTCCAGTCTACAGTCTTGATTTTTCCACTGTAGCTATTTGCAATACATTGTACTGTACAGTACAGTACAGTACTGTGGATGACCATACTGTACACTGTACAGTACTGTACTGTACTGTACTGTACATTGCCCTGTGCGGTACAGTACTGTACACGGTGGAACTCGAGGTCTTGATGGTCCGGTCCGGTCCGGACCTGGGCCAGACCTTCAAGACCTTCTTTAGCCGCGCTCTAGAGTCTGGGTGAAACAAGGCAACCGTCTGTACTGCAGTCCATCGGAAGACTTACACTGCGACCGGATGGACATTGGACAGCCTGACGCAGGACCATGGCCACTCTTTGCTTTAACGATGGCTTGAAATTGATTTTCTTTTACGGACAAGTCTAGGCCCACAAACAAAGTTGAAGGTTGGAGTTCTATGAAGATGTTGAATTCTACAACAGGGTGCCTTGAATTGAAACCGGAAATGACACTCTTATTCTACATTATGAATAATCAGCAACTGCGTGATTAACCGCAATCGATAGGTTACCGTCAATGCTGAGAAATACCAATTCATTTCGTCCATTATCTAACTTGACTTCTAGTGCTCCAGGATGATGAGTTCGAAGGCATGTCGGGGAAGGTTTAGGCTTTAGTTTTAGTCAGGAATTTATTACTTATTTTGTAGCTAGAAAACCTTCTCTCTCTCTCTCTCTCTTCGCATAACGCTCCTCTTGGAGGACTAGCCGATCAAAAAGCGCGACTACAGTCGATAGAGCATTTTACTGGTACAGGCGTGGAAGTGAAGACACTGACATAAAAACACATTAGCTGTGGTTATTCTCAGATTGAAACCAATATCAATTTATGTTATACTATACTTTAAACTGCGTTAGAGCACACACATCACGATGTGACCTTTCAGCTCTCTTATCAATGACCAAGATGTCAATGAATTTTACAATTTTCCTAGCAAATGTTCTTTTAGCTGTTATAAATATTATACTTTTAGTTGGCTACTATTCAAGACAATTCATCTGAGATTGACTTTAATATAATTTCTCAATGTTGGACAGAACTTTGCTTCAGTGCAAATACACGAGCGCAAAGCTCGTAAACTAGTAGAAAATCAATAACTAGTCAGCGCTCATCTGTCGTAAAATTCTACCGTCATGAAGAATTCTGAATTTCAAATGAAATAATTGCAAAATATTATAGACCTAGTTTCATTAAACAAAAAATTTGCAGACAGAAACAGCATTTCCATGTGTCAAATCAACATCATTATCAACGTTAATACACGCCAAAATCATTTTGAATTTTGTTAATAAGCACTTTATTCGTAGGTAGTATAAGAAAGCTAACTACTCTTCCATTGAAAAGCAAGATGCTAAGATTTATTTTTTTTATTTTAGTTTCTATAACGAGTAGTTTAATATGAGCACCAAGCTAAGTACGTTTTGTAAAACTTTTGTCTTGCGAAAGATCCTTGCGAAATAGCAGAATGAAATGAATATAGCCTATTAAATCCATACATTGTACCAAAAAGTAATGCAAAAATACTGAAAAACCAATACAGCTCATGATCTAAGATCTACGGTTAATTGCTGGCTTAAAAATAAATTTCTTTGGCATTAAACACTCGCATATAGTATTCTCAAATCTTGAATTAAGGTCAAATTCTTAATTCCCTATGAATATTAGTTACATTTCAATTTATCGACGCATTGATATTTAAAATTAGCTCTATATGCTAATATACTTTTGTTACGGAGTAACTTTTGCGTAGCTGTCTTAACACAGATTCCATAAGATAGCTTATCTAGGACAGTATTTACACCAATTGATCCATAATATTTTACATGCTCTTAATAGATAATTGCATACTTGTATAGTATTATCTATAAACTGATAATTAATGTTTATGTAGATTTTCTATAAATTAACTGGCTTTTTAATAAAGTTTGGGTCCAGTTATATATCTAAGAGAGATTAGTGGTGTTTACTGTTCCTCCTGACGATAGGCGATCGTCAGTACTTAGAATCAGACTGTAGGTAAATATCAAGGAGGACAACCATGAGAAAAGACTCATAATATCGTTTTCTATATTAGTTCTATATTTTCCCTAATACAAATTTCGGTTTACAACAACTTTATACATATTGACCTTATTTAATTCCCATATCACCAAACTTACTAACTATTGGATAATCAGTACGTAAAGCTATGTCAGTATAGGTTAAGTCTTGAGTTAGATGATCGAAAAGTTATGAACTTTGAACTCATTGATATCCGAATTAACATTTTATAAACTAGTTGAATTAGCTTTCAGACTTGCCGTGGCAGTTAAGAATTGAGCTCCTAAAATTTTAGAAATTCTTGGGTTAATCATAACTGCTACCAGAAGCTAAATTATTGAATAAATCCAAGTTTTACTTTGAGCATTAATGAAA